GCGGAGTCGTCATTGTAGAAGTTTAAATATTTTTTCTGCAAGTACACCAGAGAATATAAATTCTATTCTCTTGTAGAATTCGAAAGGTGGGGGGCCTAACTTGATAACAATCAGCCAGCTTTATACATTGGCTTTATACAAACAATATGGATGATTTGAGATGATGATGGGTATTTTCTCGCACTGTTGAAACGTAGAATAACGAGGGTAGGTTGCTTAACCCTTTCAACTTTGGTACAAATTTATTTCCCTACCAAACTTATACGTTATGCGGCTGTATATTTGTACGTAATGCAACCAAAAAACGATATATCTTTTTTTGCATGCTTAGAATATGCATATATTGCTCATCTTTATTCGTACTCACCTTGCTCTTGATGCACTCAGACAAATTCTGACTTGAATTACGCGTACTTTCAAGGAATAATCTTTCTATCGGCCAAGATGTGGATAAATATGATTAAGCAGCGACCCGCTGGCCTTTAATCAGTTTAAACCAGAATTGTCTCCTGTCCTTTTCTTGGTTGAAAGGTCACGCACAAGGACTAAAAGATCGTTTAGTCTCCCCACAACAAAAGTTATTTCATGGCAGTTGTTCCCCTCTTTATCTTAAGGTTATTAAATAGAGGGAGTTAATGCATTTCTTTTAATTCATTGCATTTCTTAAAAAATTTTCTTTCAAATCTAATATCAAACACATTCAGATTACTCCATAAATGTTGGGTCAAGTATATTGTCAAAGTGTTTTATAAGCGGGTCTACCAAAATAGCTGAATGGTAGTTTGCATGTTTCATTACTATTGGTGGTACAAACATTCTATAGAAAGGATAGATTTGGTTATTTTGCTGAAAACCTGGGGCACGTAAATGATTTACCTACGGACACAGTGGCAATGTCATTGTATGGTAGTGAATTAATTCTGCTTCGAAAAAACACAAAATATACCAGCCCTTTTCAATGCAAAAAGGATAGAAATTTCCCTCTCTGCTGTAATCCAGTGTTAGCCTGTGCATTGAACAATCATTCATTATATCGTGGCCTAACGCCCTAACGGAGGTATAAAAAATCTATAGGTACAGCTTCAGGTCATATTTATCGTAAAAAAATGCCACGTGGCTAAGAATGGCAGTTGTATTGACTGAAAGATCTCCCAGTAAGTAAACAACTGAATAACGAGCACCTTTTTCTTGTGCTTTGGACTAGCAAATTTTAAAATAATCTTACTGTCGATATTTGGATATTGTGCTATGGTGCAGAGCTCAAAAGATAGCTGTGTCTCTCTTTAATTCCGCAAAGCAATGTGATACTTGCTGCTATTGCTAAAAAACATATAAAGGACTTCTTTTTACAACTTCATTAACCCAGTCCTTTTACAACAAGCTATCGATAAAATGATCCAAACAAAACAATTCCGTTCTCTTGATGCTCTAGTGGTTGAAAAAGTGACAAACGTAGGGAAATTAATGCAGTCATTGATTAAAATGTAACTGATATTGTATATCGTGTAATTAAACTGCCGGCCATACCTAAACTTCTAGTACCGATGTTGCCAAAAGGACACCGCCCTGAAAGAGACGTTCACGAAATATTTAAGCTTTTGCCCTGGGTACCAGAACCTCATGAATTCAGGGGTAAAGTATGGTTGACGGGTCTCGAACCATATTTCTGAGACTGAACGATGGAGACTCTGGCATCCAGGGTATTTAGTTTCAAACTTCGCCCATTTGTTAGCAGCAAAGAAAAAGAAAAACATGCGTCTCTCACTATCAAGTTTCTTTACTTTGTTGATGAGGGTGTCCTGACGGTGCAAATTTTGATGTTTATTTAAATTGGAATTTTTCATTTTCTGCTTGTTTTATTTACAAATGGCTGAAATAAACATTTTTTTCTGAAGGAAAGAAATTAATTCCAAGCCTCATGCTTTGAGAAATTTCGTTAATTACGTTAACATAACATAAATGAGTGTTCCGAAACAATGTAAATCATAGACGTTAATGTTGTAGTGATTCACTTTAAAACCTGATATACAATAAAACTTTTTAGGCCCAGAAAATTTGCTCCCAAGACGAAGCATAATCTTTTAAACTAGATTTTCAACAATAACCCGGACATTTACTTTTTGCATCTAGGTTTTGAGTGCTACAAAAAGAACTGATGGCAGTCAAATAATATCTCTAAAAGAAAGCACAAATAGTATTAAATTTTGCTACTTCTCAGCATTAGCCCCTGATGCCATCTAAAACTACACCCTTGCATACATTTTATGTTGTTTGATTTTAATATATTGATCACAAATAAGAATTGCCTGAATTACCCAGCCTCCGGTGAAGTTTGGATGCATGCAGTATGCCATGTTGGAACAAAGGATGTGTCTTGCCTGGTTGTCATGTCATTGACCCTTTTTATTTTAATTAGATTTTCTGCGCATTATCAAGTTAGCCCAAATGATATATCTCTAATAAATTTCTTTTTCTCTATGCCATTTTAAGGCCTTAAGGAAAAAGAAAATTGCAAAAACCTCAGGAAAAAATGATAAGTGAATATAAAAGCTGCAATAATTTTTTTGAAAAAGTTTACAATCTCAACAAACGAAGATAGAAGTAAATGTGAGAATTCCTTTTCTAGACCTTTATCTAAAAAGCCTAAAATATTGACAAAAGCTTATATAGAATTTGTCAGTTCTGTGTACCCACTTGGAATACACAGGCCGAATTTATACTCATAAAACAATTTTTCCACAATTCTAACAACAACATCCTTAAATATATTATGTTGTTAGTTTGCTGTTTTATTTCTTGACAAAGAAAAGCATTATTTTGGTCTAGCAGATGATTGGAATTTATATTCATTTATCTGGCTCAGGCGCGCAACTACGGGGGGGGGTCCTGGGGGTCCAGACCCCTGCCCTTTTTCTTAAAAGGAAAAAGTGCTCTTTTTCTTGGAAAATTGCCTGAATATTTTGGTTATTACGCTAAAATGGTTGGTCATACAGTAAATGACACACTCCGGAAACAGGAATACAGATAAATTATTTAGTCAATTTTTACGTACTTGTTGAGTCAAACGTCATCATGTTGCAGTAATAGAGTCTATCTTCAAGCCCCAACTCTACAGCGTGTTTTATGATGCGCCACGCACTGGCTTTGAAGAAGAATGGTTCTGGGACTCAAAAACCAAAATAAAGGCACAAGATTTTTAACGGGATAGAGCCTCTACGACCTCTGGTAAGAAGTTACAAGAAAGAAACCAAGACATTTTTCAAGCCTGTCACATAGTTGACAGGGTCATAGAAGACCTTTGCATGAAACGAGCGAATGCAGAGAAATATTTTCGGACTGGTGTTAGCAAGCAGTAAAGATGGCACAAAAAGTTGATGTTCAGCTGTTCCGTTCCTTGTCAGTATTACAAATCAGCTGAAAGCAAGACTTGGAGACAGAAACCAGCTGAAGGCAAGGCTCGTGGAACTGTTCAACCCCCTCCCACTGTAGTGCAAAGCAAATAATTCAATAATAATATTTCAAAGAGCAAAATGTCTTCGGATATGGAAGATGATGGGCTGCTATTCAAAAGTGAGCTGGCTCTGGGAAAAGGAGATGACAGCAGGGTCGCCGAGAGGGGGACAAAGGGGCAAACTGTCCTAGGGCCTCGAGGTCTAGGGAGCCTCACAAAGCAATGATTTCCGTTTTTAAATGGAATTTATTAAAAGTAACAAAGTTACAGTTAAAAAGTAAAACATCTTAAGCGAATTAATGAATTTAAGCTATTTGCAAGGGTGTGGTGGCAAAATTTTTGCTCACTTCGCTCGCAAGAGGCATTGTTTTTTCCATTTCCCCCCTCCCTCGGGCCTCCTAAACTTCTCGGCGGCACTGTACGGCAGACAGAAAGAAGTCATGTGCATAGTTAAAATTAAAAGGAAAAAATAAATCACACCTCACCACAAAATAAACCGTACACCACAACTTTTCTCTATTGATCAGTTTCCCTTGTCTGGCGTACAATATTTACAGATTTACTAACTGCTCATATTTTCGCCGTACCTAAACAAATGCCCCGGTGGACCTTTAATGAAATTTAATTAGTGCCATTTTTGTGTCTTGGACCACTGCCCTCTGAAATTTCTGGTTGCGCGCCTGCTGGCTTGTTATGTTATGAAAAGTACAATCAAAAAGACATTTCTTTTTTAATGCTTTTTGACAATTTAAACTTTGTTAATGTGCATTTTCATTATTAGCGGAATGGCTATTTGAGGTGTTGAAAATCAACATCATGAAATAAACTAGAGTCAATGAGGCTCATTTAAAAGAAGCTGAAAAGCATTTTTAGACAGAATAGATTATCGTACTTGTCTTAGGAATTTTTCCAAGAATGATTCAAATTGTTTATATCGATACAATAAGAAGAGTTGCTCATGCATTAGCAAACAGATCATTAAACAGTGCTTAGCTTTTGTGTAAAGTTTCATTGAACTGTTAATGACCTAATCGATGAATAAAAGGAAAATATCAACAGTCTAAAAAGAATAGAAGCGATCAGTTATCTAGCGGCATTGTTAAAGGGACATCATAAAATAGGTCCCACTACTGTCTTTTTTAGAAATTTGCCACCATTCCCCATCTTTTCTCTTATAACAATCTTTTTGCAGTAGTTTACTGCATCCTATTCTGGTACCCAGGTTCATTCTATTCTGGTACCCAGGTTAGAGCACAGGCTACCTTTTTCACAACCAAGGCCAAACAGTCTATCACAATTACATTATTTTTTATTTACTCTACCTGCTATTTAGTCACTTGATGTCACTAAATTATTAAGTATGTCACTTCATTATAGAATGTCACTTGACCTTATTTAAAAATCAGTGGATAAAATAATATAGTCAGCTATTTGTGTTCAGTGGCTTTTAATGTATTATAGCCAGTCGATCGGTTAACTAGAAAACCCGAAAAGTTCTCTTGGCCTTTGCCCCTTCTGAACAATCTGTGCCTCTGATAAATTACGTCATTAGTGCCAGACTCCTAGAATATTTATCACTGCAACTGTAAAAATGGCGGATGCACAAAAAGTTGAGCTACCTCCAGCTCCAACCTCAGCGCCAAGTCCCACCACTCAATCCGAAGCTGCTGCTGTGAATTCTGAGTCAAGCAATGCGGAATCATCTGGTACCTTTAAATTGTTGATTTATGCTTAATTCTATGTGATTTGTTGCCGAACTGCAAAGTGTCGCAGTTATTTTCTTGTTTATAACGAAATATAATACTTCCGCATCCAGATGTTATATGCAAATTATTTATTTGCATTTTTCTTTCTAGAAATATATCAGTTCTGGTCTTCATCCTTTTCTTAGGTTAATTTTTGCAGAAAAACTAAACAGGAACTTTTCTTAAAACAAACAAATCATGTCCATAAAATACAACACAGTCTTCCCATATTAGCTTTTTTCCCAAACAATGACCACCCACCACCAACCTTACGAAAAACTTATATCAAACTTTGAAACTCTCTGTCTACTATTTTGTAAAACAACGAGGAACAAATTATCTTCAGAAAAGGAAAATGAAAATTTCATTTAAAAAATTAATTTGTCTCAGGCAAGTCTATTGCTTCCAGAATTTTGTTTTAATTCTGCTTTCATGATTATTGCTGTTATCATTTTTATCCCCTTATGATTTTTTAAACTTCTACCTTTTTTTCATGCTTGCTGTTTTAGTATAAAAACATATTTGCAAATTAAATACACTTTTCTTGTGAGAACTAGTCACCTGGCTTTGATAGCTCTATCTAGAGTTTTGCCATGTGTTCTTCCAAGTTTTTAACTTCAAGTGAGTTTGATTCCTGGGTTAAGCACATGCTTTCCTTCTCGCAATGATATATATGAATAGGCCTCAGAGTTCCATACAATTGACTTCCTAAATAGAGGAGGGCTATGAATGTTTTCATCAACACTGGCAACACCCCAAGCCCATTATAAAAAAGTTGCTGTTCTGTTCTGGAAATTCCAGCTTCCAAGTGCACTATTAAAACCACAATATTGCATTCCTAGGTATGCTGTGAAAATCCACAAAATTTATCTTGCGTTGACTGCATAAAAGTTATCAAAGACTGGCAGTCACCACAATAGAACATTGCATCTTAATAAAAGCATCTATAGAAAAAATTATATGGGAAGAATTATTCATTGAAAAGTCATTGTTTTCACTAGAGACAAGCCTAGCAATCAATTGTGACAAAACAGCTAAAATAGATTTACAGAGTGCTTGTTATTTTTAATGTGACAGTTGGTATCATAATGTTTCTAGAAAGACAAAGGCCAAATATTCTGACTGGAAATCTGCCAGATGGTTTTTTAAGATTGGAGTCTGGCGTATCAGTACAATCAGTTCCCATTCCACAAGCAGTATATGCAAGTGGTGGTGCACAATTTTACCCAACATATTATCAGAAGGGAGGAATTCTTTCAGTTACTTTGTCACAGGTTTGCAGTTTGATATTAACAACATCACAGATTTTTAATTTATCTCAATTTTCTCAAATTGTTGATTCATGTTGTTGATGAACTACCCAGTTTTTATTAAATATGGCTATTTAATTCCAATTAGAAAGTCTTAGTCTTCAGAAAAGTTTAATGCCTGCATAGATATTCTTTATTTTTTAATATTTTACCAATGTTTGATATCTAAACATCAAGGTTTATTATTGCATATTCTTGGCGGACAAGTCACTCATTTTCAACTAAAATTTATAAAAATGATTAAAAAGTGTGAATAACATACATTTTAAGTAGAAACCAAACAATATTTTATTTAACCATTCGACTGTAAGAGTTCAAATTAAAAATTAAAATGGTTCAATGTGATTGAAAAGGATGTTATCAGCAAGTTCTTTAATACCCCAAATGCATAACAGTTTGATGTTTAAGTAATGAAAAACATATTCAGTTGATACCTAATACAATCTTGCTATCATGGTACAGACTTGCCATCTTGACAGATTATAACAAATCATTCAATTAAGTTTCAATTTCAATTATACTAATTTATCATTCATTTCAGTTTGATCATTTGAGAACCATTATGCTTGTAGGTTATAAAGCTAATACTTAAAGTCGTACATACTATTGTTACTATTGTGAGAGATTTGTTATCAAGTAATACTGTCCAAAATAGTATCATATATTTGCACTGTTTTTACTACCAGAATGTTGATATCAAGAAATAATGTCCAAAATGAAGTAATAGTCATTTCCAAAATCATTTCTTAAAGAACAAAGTATTTCTGATTCTAGGCAAGACTGGCCAAGAACTATGGCTTATCCAGGATGGATCCATATTGTAGGGTTAAGGTTGGCAGTGTGGTGCTTGAGACCAAAACATCTCATAATGGCTCAAAGACTCCTCGATGGAACCAAACATTCAACATGTATGTATATTATGCATGAAAGTTTAATAGCATTGACATATTATTATCAAAACTGTCCTACATTTCATGGTCACTTGAAAAAGGCTAAGAGTTAAGTTCAGTTGATATTGTAATGTAAAGATATTTTATAACCCTATATTCACTGTTGCAGCAGAATTATCCTTAAGTTTTCAGTATGAAGGTAATCATTAGTTGTTACAAACTGAATATTTATAAAAATTAACTGAAGGAAATGTCTTTGGAACGAAAATATATAAAGGATTTCTAGTTTTATAAAATCATCAGAAATATTGATGTACCTGACTGCTACTGTTAGTTTTAATTTTTATTCAATTACCTAATATTATCCTGTTAATTATTTCAATTATATTATTTAAGCATAAAGATGCATATTTTAATTTTGATTTGAATATATGTTTGAAGGTGTATCAATAATGGTATGTATTCCACATGTTACCCAGGTTGGAGACTTGCACCATGATATTAATTTTCTGATTTGCTTATGCTAAGATAAGTTTTTCTATAAATTATCAGAAACAAAGCATCATATAATAGGCAATAATTCTACCTAACTGATAAAACTATATGCTTGACAAAAGATGTTGGCCTTTTTTTTCTTTATTTAAAATGAACCACGATGACCTTTTTTCAACCTAGATAAAGCATACAATTAGCAAATGATTTTTTACTCCTTCAGTTTATGATATACATTGGCTGTTGGTGCTTTTTTCTATAAATTTTTCTTGTTTCTTTTAGTCCATTGCCAGATGGCGAGAACAGAATGTTTATTGAAATGTTTGATGAGGTAATATTAAGTTTTTTGGTTTGAAATTGCTTATGTTTTATATATCAGAAATAAGTCAATGGGGAATAAGATTAAAAAATAGATAAATAGCAGCACTATTAATTCCAAAAATTTCAATTTTTTTATATCTTGCTTATTTGGGTTTTTATGAAATCTTTCATGTTTTTTTCATAGCATTGCATTCCTAGGAAAATGTTTTGAAAAGTGATCCATTTCATCTCAGACTTGAGGCGCTCTGTGGTTTTTGGGAACTTAGTTCTGATGCACTAGATTATGTTCGGTTCTATTTCAACAGAAAGTCGTGATTTCCATTGTCTTTGCTTTTAGATGAATGCTTTTGCATTTTTTGAAACAAATGCAAATTTTAGATATTTATTTTTATTGATTTGAAAAGTGTTCGATGCAGAAAAAGCAAGGCTGTACTAACTTTCATGGATAGCATCGTAGAAGCAAATTTATTTTTTTTGTATATTTGGCCATTTTATTTTTGTAGGTGAGCTGTGAATTGCTCCCCTCATTACTGAGGCAAGCTAAATCAGTAACCTATCGATTGTTCTTGAAAGGCAATCTACAGATGGTTTAAGCCCCTTTAGTATCTGTGGATTGCCTTTAAATAGTCTTGAAGTCAAGCAGCATGCCTTTTACTTTGTTCAATGTATATATGCTTTAACCATGGCTCAGGCACCCCCTTTGCACGAAGGATTTAAAAGAACGGACTCTTTCAGTTTCTTGTAAAGCTTGCACAACACAAAAATAAAAGTTATCTTACCAAACAATATTTTTGTTGTATAGAAATACAAAATGGCTTTGAAGAAAGCAAACATTTTGAATCATACTAAAGTTTTTCAGTTGGCTATGGTCAAGCACTCTTCAGAGTATAAAACTTCAGAACATAGATCGAAAGATCTACGCTAGGAAATATATATACCCAGTTGTGGATCGAAATAGGCCAATCAGAAACACGAGCACATGACTGTTGAGGTTGCCCAATCAGTGCCGCTTGCCCATTGAGAATGTTACCAATGGAGTCCTAAGATGAAAACGAACTCTTTCTGTCTAAACAAAAGCTACTCGTTTATGCCTACGTAGATAGATTCCAAAACTGCTAGATGGAACGACGACCGGGCTCTACTAATAATCTTAAACCTGTCGCCATTATAGTTATTGCGCAATCTGGGTTTTCCAGTAAATGCCGCTCGATAGTGGAATTGCATGTTTCAGTTGTCGTTTTTGATCTGCAAGACCGAGTAGGCTGTTCTCTTTGGGAGAGTTTTGTATCTAATACTGAAGGGATATGCTGTTTTATTCTATCCCCCAATCGACAATTCTTTCCAATTTCTTCGACTTTCCTACCAAGAATATGCCTGTTCAAAAGATTGAAAGGTTCTAAGTTCTGCATACGTAAGCTACTTTTCGCTTCACTATCCTTTCCAAATAGATTGAAGTTCGTCACAACAACCGCCCGACAGGCAAAATATTAATTGCGAAAAATGCAATGACGGGAGAAATCGCTTATACAAAATAAACCAATTAACCTTCGTAAGTTTTTCAGGGTTCTGTGGATACGAAATGGGCAAATGAATGGGAGCGATTTTTCCTTCATGTTCTGTTTAGGCAATTCACAGGTCAGTCAGCAAGTCAGCTCGCCTCAGATTGCTATCGCTCGCCTAAAACGGCCAGGCCTGATGTGGTTCACAGAATAAATTTTGAATTGAGTATCAGTGTTATGATTTTATGTTGACATATTCATTCTCATCACATGTCAGGAATTTATTGAATACAATTCTTTTGCCTCTTTTTATCGTTCTGAAAACATAATCAATTTCCAACGAGATTGTCTTCGTTTGTAATCATGAACCGGTGTTGAATATTTTCATTTTATTTTTAGTGTGCATTTTCTCCAGACGAGAGGATAGCTTGGGGTCATATACTAATCAAAGATGAAGTCATTGCAGGTGAAACTGTCGACGACTGGTACTCCCTCACCGGTAAACAGGGCACTGATAAAGAGGGAATGATCAACATTATCTTGCAGTATCGAGTAAGTTGGCTCGTTTTGGGGCAGGAACTAGGTCATAAACTAAGAGGTGTAATGGTCAGAAACTAAGACACATGTAGAGTCATTGCTAGGGGGAAGGGATAAGTGTGTGATATATCCTTTTTACTTGGCAGAGTTGACATTATTTATCGTTAACTTGGTGGTTGGCATAATTGAAAAAGTTGATGATTATGGTTTGTATGTTTGTCTGTATCATTCAATCTACTCGGGTGATTTTCAGCATCGCTCTTGAGCAGATGGCTCACCTACCTGCGAAGGAGTAATATATAGATGGTCAAGGCCTCCGACGAAGGGGGGTCAGGGGGCATACCCCTCACTTTTTGCAAAATTGTAGCTTTTTTCAAAATCTTTTATAATGGGTGCTAAATTTTGCCTTGCCCCCCCCCCACTTTCCGGAGCCCATGATAGTGTGTCCCAAAAACTATAATATCTATCTATATAAACATATTATAATAACGGTAAGTTTATGATTTTCCTCTCTCATTCATTTCGCAAGTTCCTTGTCGCGTACTGATGTTCCTTTGATTATTCTTACAAAAGTCCTTGCATCAATTTCCGCATCATAGGATCATAAAAATTGGCTGTTGATGTTTAAAGACAGTAGGTATTACCCCACCCAGTGTATTGCCACATACTTTGTTCACGTGCAATGTACGCACACTGTTTTTAGTTTGGTGTACATATAGCCCTCATATGCATAATCTAAGGTGCAGTTATGGGAAAGCATGGGCGTAGCGGATACAAAATGTTTAAAGGAATTGGTTTTGATCTTGCCCGAACTAAGTGGAGCAAGTAGGGCTAGGCATGAATCGTTTTAGGGGAAAGGTGCCTTAGAAAGCTCTTGTTGCCAGTGTTGTGGTTTCCTTTGTTCAGTGATTAATTTAGAGATATTAGAGGTGTATCTACTCAGTTGTATCTGGGACACTTGTGAGAGGTTATGTGTATGCCGTGTATTTCTCTGTCGCATTCAAGGATGCAGAGTATGAAGCTATACGAAGGACCTTTGAAGGAAAAAAAAGAAAGAATAGAAAAGAAAGAGGAATACACATTTATGGAGCTGTCTCTAACTTATAACTCTGCCATGCTAAATGCAATTTTTTGCCATAAGTATACTAGCATTCAGTTGTTTAGGCATAAATCATTTTGTTTTGAATATATTTTGTGTGTTGGATAAACCTCCTCCCTATAAGATAAGGTTGTGAGTTTTTATGCTTCACTCTAGTATAAGCCCCATACATCTTTGGCTTTCAAATTTTTAAAAACGCTTTTTTGACTTTTAGGAATCTCCAATTCCTGCGCAAGCTCCAGCCCCGATGTATGTTCAACCGATGCCCGTTATGATGTCATATGGAACCCAAATGGCGTATACTTATCCACCCGGAGTCGCGCAGCCTTTACCGGGTGCACAGCAACAGTTTGTTAGGCCACAACAACCACAACAACCACAACAACAACCACAACAGCAAACGATATCTGATGAAGATGTGAAAAAGGTCAAGGATATGTTCCCAAATATGGAAGAAGAAATTATCAGATCGGTTCTTTTGAGCAGCAACGGGGACGTAGACACGGCCGTGAACCACCTTCTGAGTATGACAGCGTCATAGACAAATGCTTTACTAATCCACAAACACTCGATAGCCATGGTAAAAACATTGTAGCATTGGTAAGAATGTATTTTTGTCTGAATTAATTAGCGATAGCACTGCAAGTTATCTCCAAGGATACTTTGCATTATTTAGACAGAGCTGCTGTGAATCGGAGCTACTTATTTTATTTACACTGCAATACTATCAAATATTCGTTGATTGCGTCTAATTTGATAACCAACATTCATCAATCTTAATTTTCTGAAAGATCGTTTAAGAATATTTCATACATCGTGAATTTCACAAATTTGTTTTAAAGCAATCATCAACATATATAATCAATTATGCCATCCTCATCCTTATCCCTATATTTTCAAAAGGTTAATTCCATGCAATATCCCCAAACCATTGCATACGCCATATGATTTACGATTGATGAAAACAGCACCTGACCAGGGAAAAGTTAGAGGCTAATCTTCAGTTTTGTGAAGAGTTTAATTTGAGTTTTGATATGAAGAGTATGAATAGTAAATCGTGTTCAAGTGGCTGATAGTAAATGCAAACCCTGGTGGATGTAAGGAAAAGCGATGAGACGATGAGACAAGAGAAAGTTTTTTTCACAGCTAGTAAGTCCAGAAGGGATCGTCCTGGCCAGATCCTTGTATCTACAGGCATCATGATTTAGGCCCAATAGGAATTTAGAGTGAGCCGACGGTATTTTGAAATATCAATAGGTGATAAAATCGATCAATGCAGTAGAAACTCAGCGAGAAATGAAGAAATCCTGAAACTGGGTTAACTGGAGGGACTTAAATTGACGATGAAGGCTCAGTGAGCTGAGCCCCCCTTGTAAATACCGAATGGTAGCCATTTTCTTTTTTTGCTATTGTTTTTTAGAGAACTTTTTTGCGACGGCACGTCTGGTTTTTTTCATAACACTATACCTGGCTTGAATCATAATTTGTTTTTAATCTTGATCTTTCAATCGTTATTTTCGATAAGAATACTTAATTTAAAGCAGAAATTATTATCACAAAGTAGTTTGTAATTAAGATTTTGTCTAATCAGACTCAGGTTATCAATTACACTTTCGTTGGTTCAAATTTTCAGACCATATGTTTGTCATTTTGTAGACGCTAGTGTATGATGTGATCCTGGATGAATTACGACCATTTTTATTTCCACTCGTTCCTTACATGCTGCATAATAATTCAGTTAGAATATCTGTCTTCTAAATTGTTGTTACCTTGTAATTTTTATGCATGATCATTCAGAAAATCTCTGACTTCTCTGAGCAAATTACCTCAATCACTAAAATTGCATTCATTTTCTCACTCCCCCCTTAAACATGTAAAGTGTAGTCTAATTTCCTCCTTTATTTCCCTTCGATTGTCTCCCGTTATTACATGTTTGGCAATGCAAGATTCTTCTCAAATGCTGTATTAGAATGAATATATTAAAACAGCATAAATTTGTCTTGTGTAATCATTAGAGATGAATCAGGAAACCAGGGATGATGTAGCGAATGTCAATGGCGAATATAAGCGTTTTTGGCCGCGCCCTGTGGAAGCAAACAATAGCAACGACTTAAATGAATTACCTCAAGAAAATCTATTGACGGCAGAATGCTGACAAATATATTTTAATATGTTTCTGGGAAAGTACGCCGACTGGATCTCCAGTCAGTAGTCCTCAAAGCTTAGCACACTGAGAGTCTTGATATTCTATTGAAGAAATTATAAATGCAGAAAATCTGGTTGAGATATTGCGAAAACAGCTTTGTCGTGGTGTACCCCAGGACTCCCGCTTTAGCCCACTTCTTTTCACAATCTACATGTCTGATCTTCCTACGATCAAGCCGAAACAATAAATATATATCATGTATCAAGTGAGTATGTAACTCCGACAATACTTCGACTTTTCAGTCCTCGAAATGCCTTTAGGAACTTTAGTAGAATTCAAACTGAGATATCTGGAACTACATATTTGTCCGTATGAAAATGAATTGTCGGTAAACATGACTAATAAGTCATTTTTGATAATAGATTCCAGCTCAATATTTAAAAAGATTGAAAAAGCTTTTAGAATGATCAACCGACAAAAGTTATCAGTGAGTCAAATCAAGAGCTGGGCACATTAAGCAAGTTGGGTCCTGGAAAAACAGCTTGATGTTTCACGGAATACGTCACTCAACTTTGGTTTAATAAATGTCAGAGAAATATTTGACACTACATAAATATTTGAACATTGTGCCACTCCAATTGTTTTTTAAACAAAACTGAAATATATCTTAAAAGACCATATGAGATCTCTGCATCATTTCCTTGTAGAACTTAAAAGCTGAAGTGTTTTATAGGCAGTTGTCAATATTCTGGAACGTCTATCCGTTCTGCTTTAATATCAACTAGACTTTATACTTTATTAAAAGATCTTACGTTTGCTGCAATTTTAGATTCATTATACTCATGCAGGGAAGCATGCACTCGAAGAGGGCAACGAGGGCAAAGCGCCTTAAAAGGGGAAAACAATAGCAAAGCGAAGAAAATGCTCAACTTAGCGAGGGCAGGGGGCCACTGCCTCCGCTGCCCCCTGGCACAGGGGTACTTGTACTCATTGTCTTTTTTGATAAATTGGCCTATATTTTGCTAAATCTGAGACATAAATTATAAAAAATAAGAAATTTTCAAGACGCACAGATAAGAAACTTCCCGCAAGCAACTGACTCTACTCGAGGTCGATTGTTCATCGTCTAAGTGAGGCGGAATTCCACAGGGAAGCAATGCGGACATAAGACACTTCCGTCTCCTCGTTCCTTGCCTACTAACATAGAAAGGTCGAAGTAAATCATAATTCTAGTCAAGATGTGGCGAGCTGGCAATGATGTGAAAATGGACTCGGCTGCAGATGATGGTGATGAATGGGAGACAGATCCAGATTTCGTTGTAAGTGTCATTTATGCGAGCTAATAGTTGTGCGAGGAAGGAAGGCCTAGGCCTTAGGTTTCCCCTCCCATACTGCCATAATGCAACAAATTAGATGTGTTGTACATACTTTGTTCAAGTAATTTTAGGAGATTTCGCTACTTCAAAGCGTAGCTTTTGGTTGCCAATTTGCAGAGCTTAAATACATTTGCTAGCTAGAGAAAGAAAACTTTGTTAATTGCATGGCTAAAATAGTAAAAACAACAAGGATTAGCCAATAGTTCCGTGTGCACTCCTTTGACAATAAATGGTGCATCCAAGATGCAGACATGGCAGCACTGAGGGAACACCTTAAAACCGAGCAGTTACGATAAATTTAAGCCTGGGATTAGAAAAATGTTCACTAAATTGTCATGCCTACTGCTGGTGTTGGATTTACTTTCAAACCTCTGAATAAAGGGTTGTTTACATATGAAGTGATGAAGTAGGGCCTGTTTACATGAAGTAGGCTAGCCCACTCGAGTGGGCTGGTTTTTGCAGGTGAGATCCTATTCGCAAGTGTTTACACGAGGACGCGATTTATCCCACTTTGGTGGGATGGCCTCTTATTTGAAAATTGTGAATGAGGTTTTTTAGTTTGGACATACAACACTAAGGACATAAGGCACCACAATAATGAATATCAGTTTTCCTCAACAATGGCGAACAACAATTGGATTCCTTTTCTGAACCTTAAATTAGCTGGTATGCTCAGATTTGTACACGGAATTCTGATTTTGTGTTCGATCTATCAAAAGTATGCTATCAACATGTTTGTGTCATTTCAATTGAGGAAATGAAATTCTCTATGTTTCTGTAGGCTTTTGCTACGGTTTTAGCAAAAGAGCCTAAACTGTTGATGCCGATTCATATGACATTATAATTTGGTTTAGTTTAGTGCCAATTTTCTCAACGCAAGTGCATTGAAATTCAGTGAGTGGGCCAGCCGACCTGATTGCATTTACATTGAAAATTTTCCATCCCACCTGACACAGATTCCACCTGTCCTTCTCACGGAACTCACTTGAGCGTGCTGGCCCACTCTCCATGTAAATTCAAATACAGAGAACAAAGGAATGTATAGAAAGCACGGATCCCACTTGAGTTAGCCCACTCCATGTAAACAGGCCCTAAGAAGCTCTTTTTGTTAAGTTGGGATGATAGCAGAGTGTTATTTTCTCTTATTTTCAAAGACTTCTTGTTGTTAAGTATTAAACTTTAGTTTTTAATCATAGTTACAAATTTTGTTGTTGTTGTTAGGAGGACTGGGCCATGTAACTTTGTAACCCTGTGATCTTGCCTCGTGTTCTTTTATTTGTTCGCTTGATATAATATAAAAATGGCGTTAAGTATCGCGTATTTATTCCTCTACTAACTCGTTTATCCACCACGATGGCTAGTTCAACACTTGTGACCGTAAACTTTTTGAAAAAAATTTCCTGTGAAATTAGTTTGGATTTGTGATTCAAAAACCTCAATAATGCGATAAAATCATGTTGTTGAAGACAAAAGGAGTCACATGAGTAAAAAATGAAAGCTCAGATTTTATCAGAAATGTTTTGCCATAATTATAATCAGGACTGCACAGAGGTTTCGGAGTTCCTAGGACAAAACCGAAGGTCAAGGCCCTCAGTGAGCAGAGGGAACAGAAAATATTTGTCACCAATCCCTTAATATTAGCTTAAAATGCATTTCAGAATATTTCTTGCAGGCATTTCTTGCAAATATTTCAACACCTTACGTTCTTAAGAATACTTTTTCTATAATTGATTAATTCCATTCCTAACAACGCACAATCAACCCTGAGGCCCCCTGGGGCATTTTTCCCCTCATCCCCTCTTTCAGCAGCCCTACTTATAGTTAATGCAATTGTTAAAACTCTTTCAAAGGGTTGGCAAAGAAATGTGGAACATTCCCGTTCTTGCATAAATGAGCGGACATTAAAATTGAAATTCTTGTGTCTTGATAAATGAAGCGATTTTATGAAAGACTCATACCAAAAACTATAACTTAGTCTTAGTTTTAGCTGTAGTGTTATGAGTGAGTTACAAGCAGAAAATTCTTGCAAAAATACACCTGTGATACGAGAGGTTGGTTCTTTCTTTATAGCCTGCATTTAAAAAATATCTCAAACACTAATAACGGTAAGAGGTCGTAATGACATATCAGTAATGACATAATTTGTTACTTTTTGCAGCGAAAGCTGATCCCCTTGAGCTCCCTCCGCACAGTATTACTTTTCCAAACATAGTTTTGATCTTTTACATTGCAATGAGTTGATTTCTTCTGAGCATTTAGATTCCTTCCAATCTGCTTAACTTCTTGTTAAGTGTATATATAAAACTTTTCTATTATTCATCCATGGTTGAGAAATTTCCTGTGAGAAAAATGTTCTAACTGATTTCCTGTGACCAATGGTCACATGGTCATGGGGGAAAATAACACCCTGGATGATAGATGTCCAGCCCAGAAATAGTGGGATGGAATGGGGCTCAACCCCCCAATAATTTGCAAAAATAAGTTCATCCTGGCTGATTGTGGCTATTTGGTGCACTACAATGGATTCCTATGCCCCCATTTTTGTGCCCACTCCTGAATAATTTGTGTCTACAGCATTGTAAATATTTGCTGTGGGAAAACATGATTTAAACTTTGGAAAGGCCAGGATCCTTGGTAAAGCTTATTGATGATTTGAAGTTAAATGGACAAACTAAGAAGTAGACATCAAGGATATTAACCAAAAGATCTCTCTTTTTTGTAACAAATATATGGCCACAATATCAATGTCATGGGTGAAATTTAAACAGATATTGTAGAAGCAGGAGAAGAAAGGCTGGAGAGCTTTAGCCCCAAAAAAAGCTTTCATGAAATTCTTAAAACCAAAAGGCTTGCTTCGGGCTTTTTGCATATTTAGCCCAGAAAAAATCTTCAGCTCCAATCCATTTTCTGCTGTTCCTGCATTGCTCCTGTTGTTTTTGGACAGGAAATTGGATGTGGCATGCTCCTTTGTAGCTGTAATCTGATATTTGTAATCTGAATTCACAATTTACTTATAAAGAGCTATTTTGGTATGTCACCCCTGAAATTAAATGATTAAGGGCTTGTTTGACCTACTTGGCAGGTAGGAAAGACAGAGTATTGAATAATTCATATTTTTAAGATATGATGTCATTGTTTTGCAGACAATGTAGATTTGATACATAGCTTTTTGAATTGATGACTTGAGAGGTAATATAGACTAGTGGACAGACCATGCCTTTGCTATCAAGTCAGCCACAGTGATGATCATGTTTTATCCAGAATATTAAGGTCAAGCTCTTGCCTCTTCAAAAGGATTATGTTCCTACACTTGAAAAAACTGTTGTATAAATATTATTCTTAGTTTGGAATTGAGTATCTAGACAGTGATTAGAACGAAACTGCATGGCAATAAACAGTTCTAAAAAGAAAATAGCTTCTATTTCTAAGATTAATAAAACCATTCAAAAACTGGGTGGAAATGTCTGTTTACTTTTAGTCATTATCAAAATTTATACTCTGAGGATGAAATTTACTTAATTTTGCCATGTTTTCCTTAACTCTCTGTCCTCTATGTTCTTTAGTTGCTGGTCTTCTTTGTTGATTGATTATGCTTTTCAAAGCTTCTGACTTTATCTTATTTGATTTGGTTTGTATAGTTGAACTTATGTAGAAAATCCGAAAGTCTGATATGATAAATGTATGACCATTTGTTGGATTTTGTTTTTTTCTATAGAATGATGTCAGTGAACAGGAGCAAAGATGGGGTTCAAAGACAATCGAAGGTTCTGGTCATCAAGCATCTCTCAGGTTAACACTTTTTATCTGATATTAATCTACCTTTCAAAGCAAGGAAGCAGCAAATAACATAACTGACTCATAACATAGCTTAATTTACAAGTCCTGGTAATATGAAATTTGGCGGCATGCTGGTAATCGCATGCTTTGAAAAGTTTAGGCTTGCAATGACGTGCGATCCATAAAATGGAGACCTTACGATTTTTATGAATACGCATCGTTTTTTGGGAGCAGTGAAGACAGAGGCATTCAAAAATGGAGACATTCAATCTCAGTTTCAAAAAGAGCTCAAGCAAAGGATATGAACGGACAAATATGGAGTAATGGAAACACCCACATTATCCTTTGATCAAGAAAGAGTGGCCTGAGGTAATGTGAACGGAGACACACAAAACGAATTATTGGAAAACCGGCCCTAATGGAAATGAAGTAAAGAGTTAAAATGCCTCTGGAAATGCCATCAATGTAACAAACACAAAAGAAATTAACAATTACTTTAGAGAAATTAAACAAGAAATTAAAAGAAAAAAATGAGAAAAAGAATAGTATTCAAAATGTGAAACTGCGCTTGCAACAGAAAGCACGCCTCTGGAGTTTTAGGTGTGTGTGGGGGCATGTGCGTGTGATCGCATGCCTAATATTACCAGGACTGATTTACCCACATTTAGGCAAATTTAATGGCTTGTTGTAAAAAAGCATACTCTAGGTCTGCTATAAAAACTTTTTAAAGTGAAGTTACTTAAGACACTTTGTTTGCCTTTTCTAGTATGGACAAGCTACGTCATGGAGTGGAAAAAGATCATAGCCAGATCAAGCAAGGTGAGTAAATTTATTTACTTTATACATGTCTTATGTTGTCTTTAAACATGAAAGACAAGATAGTTTATTGATACCATGATGGGAAATGTGACAAAATTCTTAGCTATGTTTTTCTGAGAAGTTGCTCCAGTTTCTCCATTCCAAGGACACTGGGATTGAACAGCACTGCCTGCAATAACTTTCACTGGGGTCATATTTTTGTTAATTAGTATCTGAAACAAATACCTATCAAGCATAAACATTATTCAAAGCTACTAAGTAAGTGCAATAATTCTTTCCTTGAATGCAGAGGCAGACACTTGGTCAAATATTTGGGGGGGGGGCAAAGCCTATTGTTTTAATAAGATGACATCACATTTCCTATTGTTTTAGAACAAAAGACCATTGTCCTCTAAAGTTTTGCAAGAGCAGTCGCCCCCCCCCCAGGGGTCCACCACTGCTTGAATGCAGTGTCTTTAATCACATTTTTCTGGCAGCTGTTCACTAAAGATTAATGCTGTTTGATTTTGAGAAAAAAATTTGCTTATTTGCCCACTTGGTATTAAATATTTATTAATGCTAATCTCTTCTTCTTGGGTTGATGTTTCATAACAATTTTGATGCCTTGTGCTTCTGTTAATGTTATATAAAATTATACATACATGTTCATACCTCATATTTATGATTATTTTTATGTTTCATATATGACCTTTTCAAATTTATGTTATGATTTCAATCCACTCCATTTAAATATGTTATGATTTCAAACCTATAAAAATAACATTATAGTAAGTATATTATGCAAGAAGTTTTTCTGATTCTCCCAAGCCTCTTCCAGGATAATTAAAAAATACATTTTGTCAAATCAGTTGCTTTACTGACTAGTAAAGCAGCGAGTAAATTGATTATTATTATAGTCAAATTGAAGAAATTTATATTAACTCTTACTTGCTTTATTATATGTCGAAAAAAGTTATAGTTAAATAATATATTAAGTACAAAACTCATTTGAATAAAATATAATATCTATCATAGGTAGCCATACTTCTACTGTATCCATTGCTCCATGCTTTGTGCATCAATCACTGTCATGTCTCAATAGACAACACATATTTAGATGCTCACGCTAGATTATTAAGTTTTTGTTTTATGTTGCTAGTATCATAAAGATATGTCTAGCATCATATTTCTCTGCTAAAGTATTCTCTTTGTTGCTGCAGTCAACTATTCAAACTTGAGCATATAATCTGAAGCCCTCTAATGTGTATTATGTAAAATGAAGTCCTCAAACCGTTTTTCAATTCAGAATAGTTTGTGTCAGTATAAATAAGGCATTGATTTCCAATTTTTGTTCTCTTAACCATTGTCTTCTCCTTCTTTCTTCAGATGACATGGATCCCACGTAAGTTCTTATGATTTGCGTTAGAATAGATTTGATTCGATAATAATCATCATAAATATATTCTCATATTCGTATTAACAAAGAATAACGTGTTCAAAAGCTGAAGATCGTGCTTCAGTTTTCTTTCAGGGTTGATAGAGAGAGCAGTTGCAACCAATTTATGTTGCATATCTCTTGTCATTTTTTCTGTCCCAAAGGGGATTTGTCAATGAAATTTTGTTTACATTCGTATTTTTCTCTCTTTACTTTAATGCTGACAGCTGCTTGTGCTTCGCGTATTCGAACGGTCTTTTTCGGTATTGTTATGTAGTCAGCATTCGTGTTTAGAAGAATCTCTTGACAGAACACATCGCTTGGTAGCGTTTCGTTTTTGGTGGAATTTTTATAAGGAAAAACACATTGCTGTAAACAATTCGTAAAGTTAATTGTGCCATGAAAGCTGGAAAAAGCAATGTGATGATCGTGCTACCGGAAGAATTTATCTTATGTTTACAGATTCAAATTGAAAAATTCAAAATAGTTGGATGTTCAATGTGGCGGTAGCTTGTAAAGCCTGGTTCTCATCATCATCATCATTAACTTTTGGGTCATACAAATGTCTGCCCAGTCAACTACAACGTTAAACTTTACTGAAATGATTTCGACAAATTTACTGATGTTATAAAAAGTATCCGAATTTCAGTTTTTGGACCAATCAAGTAGCAAATTGAAATTCCCACAAATTAAAAAATTGCAATTGTGCAAGCATGTTGAGCTAAGTAAGCTTCGGTCAAGTTCCACTATATCCGAATTTGATGACGGTGGGCAATAAAATGAGCCAATTATGACATTTTACACTTAAAAAGCCTAGTTTTGGATGCTTTCATTTGTGCCGCGTCTGTTGCTATGAAGCTCGTTGTTAAAGTCTTACAAATTATATAACAAAAAAACAAACAGATTTGTATTTTTCAAGGTATATCATTAAGGAACATAAATAGGTAGCAAAAGGGAGCTATGAAAGAAGAATGCCTAGAATTTTTAAGACTTGTGCGAAAAGAACAACAAATTGAATTTCCACGTCAGCATCAATTTTGTCTTGCTAGAGTAATAGTTTTGATATTTAGCTCAATCCCAGCTGTGCAATTATGCGCAATAATTTTATCTTACGGTCACCTGTTAATTTTTCTTCTTCTTAAATCAATCATACATTCTGTTTATACCCACAAACTGTGAATTGAAAAGCCATCGACCCTGCAAGATTTCGATCAGATGAAATGTAGAGAAAATTATACTCTTTACTGTAAGAAAGAAGATATATTTTTATAAACTTTATTTCATAAAACTCACGCGATAGTTTAAGCTCTAAGCTTGGCTTGCTTCCTTGATTGAACCCAGCTAGTTGATTCACACCTTGGCGCAACTGTAAAGCCGAGTGCTCTGAGAAACTGCTAAGGAACTAACAAATGACCACCTTTTGTCTGATAATTCGCAAAGTGGCTTGAAACATCGTGAACATCTGTTTTGTAGAGAAAATACGTCAGTGCATTTGCATGGAATAAATAATTATTGAAGAATTACAATCACAGGCTGGAACATTTCAATTTACAGTAACGTGGACTTGCGTTTCTTGTTTTGCAGTGTTTTTGCTCTTATAATAATGCTACATAAGACAAAGCACAGTGCTTTAAGATGCTTTTTGAAGGTGGATTGACAAAATGATTGTTCAGCAAGAGAATTATTTAATAAGGCTTTTTTAAAAAGCTTTTGTGTTTGTGTGAGACATTCTCGATAAAAGATCTACCGAAGGAAGAATTTTAGATGGTGCTTGTTGTAGGAGGTTCATTCGAGACAATTTAACTGTAAATTTAATAATGGAAGATAATTATTTTAAAGGCTCTTTCAAGCAAGCTTAATAGAGGAAGGTTTCGATAAAGAGTGTTTTCGGATAGCATAGACCGGAAATATTTGAGAAGGCCTTACTCAAAGAAGGAATTTTTGGGAATGGCCCATTTGAACCGAAGCTGTACCGAGAGAAGTTTATTTAACTAGTGCTTAGACCGGGCTATACGTTGTCTCCTCGAAAGGAAAGAATTATTGGGGGGATGGGGGTTTGGTGCATGTAAAATTGGACCTTCAAATTCAGTGCCGTGGGAATTATTTGTGCACTGTTGTTTGAGATAATAAAAGCAAAAAAGGATTATTCACTGGAAACGAAAAATTTTTATAATTTTTTCTGGGAAGGGGGCCTCCCAAAACCAATAGTAGCTATGGCCTTGTTAAAAGATGTGGTCTTTTGTTTAGAAAGAATATTTGTAGAGAAACTTAACTTATCCCAGAATCGGTCAATATTTTAAAAGGAACCTTTGTATCAACTCAGATCCACTTTAATATTTTATTATTGGAATACGGTTTATCTGCTATTATCACAAGCGCACTACTCGAAGCTGTGACATTTATGTCTTCTTCGCCTAAGCAATACTGGAAAAAAATTGTTTAAAAATTTAAACCCATTTCAAGGATTGTGGACTTCTGTGGTAATTGAATCGTGTAGGCTGTTTTTCTGCGATGATAGAATGGTCTAGTCAGTTGTTCAGTATTGAAATGACATAGGAAGAGAGTAACTGGCAAAACCCTTGTGTAAGAAAATTAGCAAGAATATGGTTGGCATTAAGCCAATTATACCATTCCCCCCCCCCCAAAAAAATTGAGCATTTTAAGAAATAAGGAATTTCTTTCTACCCCCACATCGCCTATTTTGGATTTCCTTAAAACGAATCTCCTTTGAAATATGGATTTCAAAGTTGGTTTATTTTCATGTTTTATTATTGCAATACATTTTAGGAAAGTTGGGTCGTATGGTTATGGAGGGAAATATGGCGTTCAAAAGGACAGGGTTGATAAAGTACGTATTTGGTCGAAACGTTTCTTACAATGAATTGTTATGAAAGTAAGCAGGGTTGATTTTATTTTAGATATTGATGAGCTTCTAACGGGACTAAAGTGGATATGGCAGCTAAGCATATGCATGCACTGATTAAAGTCACCAGTGCTATATCTGTTGCTCGTTGAGTCTTTTTTAAACTTTTGTGCTCGAAAGTAATCTTGTTTCAATTCATAATTCATAAATGCAACTGGGCCTTTAAAACGAAATATACTTTTCTTTTCATTTTTCGTCTCGGTCGAGAATTGGTTTTTTTCCAGGTTTGGACAGGGAGTGGGGGATTTTTTATTTGAGAGTAGGGTAACAGGCCATAGGCAGAATATAGAATTTTATAAGTTTTCTATATTTTTGGTGTAGAATGTTTCGACAAAGTTTTTTTCATTTCATATATGTTGGAAACATCAGTTTTCCCCGAAAAGGGACCTGATGTGGCCAAAGGAGCATTCTGTGTTGTCTTTGATTTTTTGTCTTTAGGATCCCCATTTCGGTTAGACATCCAACGTAAAAGATCATTCAAAAAAATTACGAAGTATTTGCAAGACTAAACGGAGTGTTACGTTGATATATATTGAAATGCTTCTAATCAAACACCCTTTCGATCGCTTTTTTATTTCGAGCCCTTTTAAGACCTGTTGTTTTAACTGCGCAAGCAAAATATATCAAATATAGCTAGTGTCTTCGATTTTTGATAGCTTTGTTCTTGAAGTATCAACTGATAAGCTATAAAATAAAGTAGTTTTTATTGAATTGTCCTTTTCTCAGGTCGCAGCTGACTATACATACGAAGGAAAAACAGACAAGCACGTTTCTCAGAAGGGTAATTGGTTCAAGCGCCTACCTCTCATAGTTTTTTTTATTGTTTCAATAATTCATGTAAAGGGGAGGTCGGTATTGTGGGTGCGGGGACAGATGATGAAATTATCTGTAATTTCAGAAAGGTCACATCGGAAAACTCAGCTGTTCAGTGTTCAAGTGTTCATATAAAACTCTTCTTTATAAACATTAAAAATTTTTTACGATCAACTTTCTTACTGATCATAATCTTAGGCCGAAATTTATTAGAACTTTAAGAAAATTACTCTATTGGAAAAATGAAAAATTTTTCAACTCCACTGATCTTGCTTGCCCGATTGGAACATCTTGAGTAAACAAAAAGTAACAGGTTTTCTTGTTCCACGTTAAACACCCATTCTAACTTTGTATTTATATTCGTCATATTTAGAATTTTTTCTTTTTTAATAAGATAATCGTCGCTCTTTCTTTAGATTATGCCGCGGGTTTCGGAGGAAAGTATGGTATACAGAAAGACCGAGTCGATCAGGTATTATTCAGAGTAGTCCTTTGTTCGTTGTTTGCAAATTTCACAAAGGCAAACCAACTAGTTTCTAATTGATACGGCAATTCTTCAAAGGTAAATACGCTTGAGGAGTACAGTTGGCAGGAAGAGTCGATATTCTCAAAATTCTTTCAAGAATCTATTCATTCCTGCTATTACCTGAAAATGTGTTCCCAGAAATGTACTTTTTTTTATTTTCCTTTTTGATTTGTGAATAAACGGTGTTGCCCACAGTAAAAAGACCGATCAGGAGATTCTGACACGGTTGCTCCTTTTCAAGTTACAGTGCACGACAATGTGACGTCATCAGCAATCTAATTTTAGAATTTTTTGCATTTTTGCATAATCTGAAGAAGCATCACAAAATACCCTCAGATTTGCAAAATCAATTAGATAAGTTGAGAATTGGGTGAGATATAGTCAATTGAAAATTTAAGTTTGCTAAAGGATTAATGTTAATTTTGCTTGGTTCATAAAGTTTACTGGTCAAGATCAAAGAGGGCTGGAAATAGATTTTTGTGACGTCATCACTTAAGAAACTATTTTGAAGTCAGTGAATATCTAACAGATGAATATACAAATGTATTTCAATTGAAATTTAACGTAGAACGGTAAAGCTGATTTTAAAATTCTTTATTTTATTAGTCAGCGGTTGGATATGAATACGAAGGGAAGACAGAGAAACATGCTTCACAGAAAGGTTCGAGAAATATTGTTATTATCAATTTTGTGAACTATATGATTAAACTAAATAGTTTATTTTGGATATTAGCGCAGTTTATGAAATGTAGCTCGCATTTTACATTAAGTTCAGTTTTTGCTTCAAGTTCTAGACACTGCACAGTCTTTGGAAAGCGCCTCCAGTCGCTATCAGATAATTTCTATAGAATCTATTGTAGTGTTCAAATTGGCAATTAAAAGCGCTAGTTAATGCGATTTTGCTTGTTAGTTAGCTGCTAGGTTAGTAGTTTCAAGGCTCGTGGCTTTCAGTTCAAGAAGAGTTGGAGTTAATTTTCTAAGTTTATTGATTTTTACTGGATATAGGGTGAGAATGGTAAGACTCCAATTCCGTTTTTGATTGGCCGGAACTTAAAGTTGCATTTATGCTCTATTAGGAACTTGTTTTCCGCGTAAGCAGAATAAGTTCCATGAATATTAAGCTTTCCTTGATGATGTTTCTCCATCTTTCTCTTTCTTTTACTGCTATGTTGATCTCGTTCCAATTGATGCCTTTATTAAGTTCGGTTCTATATTGAGTTAATAAAATTAAGAATACACAAGCTAGGGATCATCGAAAGGGAGAATAATCTTTTGTGACCATATGATCAGTGGTCAAATGAAATGGATAATGGTATAGTGCACTGGTTTGCCAATTGATGTCTATAACAGACGGTCCTAATTTGCAACTCCTAGTTTCACACTTAATGCTACCATTGGGCTAACGTACACAGCTCTGCTTGTACGGCATCGAATACAAAATACCAGTGTATATACAGACCAGTGATCAGTAATTCTTATCAAAGTTTTATATAATTTGGTTTTTCATGATCATTTCAAATATTGTTTGATGGCCTAAATTTTCTGATAAAGACGTTTTTGTAGCTTTTTAGCTTCAATTTACACTTATTTTTTTTGTTAGATTATTCCAGTGGATTTGGTGGAAGGTATGGCGTGCAGAAAGACAGACAAGACAAGGTATTCTTCTACCATATTCATAAACTAATGTATAGCGCTCAGTTGCAGCTCATAAACGCACGCGTAAATATGTAACAGCATATCTGGTATCTACACTGAAGACCTTCATGTCAATTCATTTTGTTTTGAAACCCAAATACCCGTATGAAACACGATTGACACGATATCTAGGGGCAACGAGCAACCCAACAACCCTTGCAGTTATTTTCACAAGAGCTTCCAAAACTGAGCTTTTAAAAATTTCTTGACCTTTCTTCTTCATTTTTCTTTTAAATAAAACCAGAAACATATAAGTAAACGGGGAAATTATTGAAAACAATCAACAATGAGTGCAGTTTGCATATATTTTACAGGTATATGATAAAATTAACACAAAATTGATCTCTTCTAACAAAATATGCAATGTAAGAAAATTTATTTTTCACATTTCTTAGAAGTTTCTCATCCAGCGCCAGAAAAGGCCCTCCTTATAAAAATTGCATTTAGTATATTCCACAGTGCTTTGCAATAAGGCTGCTCTGTTTGAAACTGTGATTTCCTTAAACTCTTCCAAATAGATTTGCTCTCTCTGTGATTCAAGATTAAGATAGCTATACTGTTCTTATCTGTTTTATCAAAAATTTTAGTGCGCTTTTCGCGGAATAAATTTGCTATTCCAAACAGTGCAGTAAGTTGCTGTAAGAGATTTCCTGAAGCTGTCGTAGCTGCTTGATTCGTAATTTTATCATTTTTAAGGTGGGATTTCAAAAAATCGCGATTTCTGACAACTTGCTGTTTACTGTCGAGTTAGCACAAGATAGCGCTTGCCCGCTTTAGAAATCAGTCTTATCTCCGTAATTGTTTTTATGTACCAAGAATCGATCTTATCAAGAGGCTTTGATAAGTGCAAATACATGTCTTTGTACGTCAGTGCCAAGATATATGTATATGAAAATCCTCAAAAAGAATCATTATATCTAGCCTTTAATTGAGATTATTTATATTCATGCATTGTGGTTGATGTTTTTGAGCAATCATCTGAATAACTACGAGGCTCGAAATTCTGACATCGAGATTTTTCTAATCTGGCTCTTGTTTTGGAAATGATCACAAATACAAAGTAACGTAACAGTAATATTTTAACAATAATTGGCAATGTTTATTCATTTGATTTACTTCAATTACACAGTCAGCTGTTGGCTACGAAAGCAAAGTTGAACTTTCAAAGCACGAGTCACAGCAAGGTACGTTGAAAGTCCTGTTTTGAATTTACATAAGCAACGGGATCGGTAAAACATTTATTGAAATACTTGAATTGCTGCGTCAGGAAAAGGATATTTAATCAAAACTGGGTCTCTTTGGCTCTTCAAAATTGCAGGGTAGGCCTTGACTTCACAATTAACTCTAGCTGTGCGTTCCAACGCCACCAGAAGACGCCAATTTTTTGCCTAGACCCTGCTAGCAGGGTATCTCGACTTTCTTTCATATATCAATGAAAAAATAGTTTATCTTCAGGTGTTGTGGGTTTCGTTTTCTTTTCGGTGATATCCATACGTACCAAAATACACTGCAATCAGCACGCCGCAATTTTCCGTTACCAAAACTACCAGGATGCATTGCACGCTTGATACGATTCATGAGTATGGCCTATTACCGCAACTGAATCTCTTGTTTCATATGATTCTACACGCAAAATGTTGTTTTCTCATCATATTACTATATAATATTGCTATCGGTCAGCATTTGCTATAATGACCCACATTGTTCAAAAAACTATAATGGCGACATGTTTCGGATTATTGGTAAAGCCCGATCGTCGTTACATCTAGCAGTTTTGGAATCTATCTACATAAGCACGAAAAAGCCGCTATTATCTAGACAGAAGGAGTTAATTTTCACCTTAGGACTCCATTAACATTCTCAATAGGCAAGCGGCACTGATTGGGCAACCTCAACAGTCGTTTGCTCGCGTTTCTGATTGGCCTATTTCGATCCACAACTGGGTATATATATTTCCTAGCGTAGAGTTTTCGATCTATGTTCTGAAATTTTATGCTCTGAAGCGTGTCAGACGAAAAGCTTTAGTTAACTCAAATTTTTCCTTTTTTCAAAGCCATTTTTACTATATAAAAGTACACCATCTGCTGTTATTTGCCATTCTCCAAATGTTAGATGCATAAATTGTTTGAAATTTACTGCCGTACATTTGTCTGTTGCTGTTTCTTATCCGTATTACGATAAAGATGACAGCCTTTAGTCAGGAATTTTGTCTATAATTTACACAAAAGTTGTTTTCCTGTTATTAATAAAGCGATATAGGGCTTTGACAACCAGTAAGTAGATTTGAGAATAAAGAGTTTTATTAAAGGCATTGAGTCATAGTAAATAGGCCTTCTCTATAGGGGGCCATTTGGTTTCGGCGTGATCGCTGCTGTTTCATGTGATACTTGCATCCGTTGTTGACAACTTGCTATTGATGAAAATTGCTTTGTCAATCAGTACGAGGTGAGTTCATGTGACCAGTTTCAGGTCAACCAATAGCATCGCAGTCATGAAAATCATGACTCAGCGGATTTTGGCACTTAGGGTATACCCAATCCATTTTATCATGACTCAATGCCTTTAACTAAAGGCCATTGGTAGGTTTACTTAAACTTTGAATCTGTGCGACATGCAATTATATTTTTTTGCAGTTTAATCGATTATTAGTGCTTGCAAAACGTCCTCTGCAAGTACTGACTCTATTCTTTGATTCCATAATTCATGTGCGCCTTGAATGATGGCCCGACAAAAACTGTTTAGAATTTTTGAATTTTGATCTCTCATGACCAAAAAGAGCATTGTGAAATTACTCAAAATTTTTAAAGTCAGATGTTTTACAGATCTCCTGTGATATTGCATCATGAGTACAGAATCATTCCCCATCAGATCACTATTCTAAACTTTAACTGAACCAAGTCAAAACAACAGTTATTTGGCATATTCAACCAAATTTTGATTGATTTTGCATTGTTTGCTAGACTCTGTACCAACGACATTTTTCTGGCTTCCTGACTCATGACAAAAACCAGACCAGGCTTTCTGCCTTAAAATAATGTTTCGCAATCAGTTCAGTTCAGTTCAAATTCTACAACATACAAATGTTGTCAAAAGCATTAAATAACAACAAAATGAAGAAATACAGGCTACAATTTAAGATACAAGCAGACAGACTAAACAGGAATAGAGAAAAATATTATATGGCTATTTTTAAACTTTGTATGAAGAGGAATTCTTAAGAAGGAGCTCTCCCAGTAGCTGAGCTAATCGAGGAGAGAGCACCCCCTACTAGGTTAATTTGAATTGATGAATTTTGCTATGAGACACTTTGGGAACTATAGTCTGCTTTAATGATTTTTTTTAAGAAGGAAGGCTTTAAGTCTCTGACGCCCGCACAGGCTGAGATAAATTCTACTTCCATGCAAGGAGCCTATGACCTTACAGTCAGGATATAAGAACTAGTACAGCAAAACTTCCATCAAACTAAGTAACATTTACGTCATATCGTAGATGAATCATCATTCTTTTTGGACTGAATTCTTTACAGTCACTCAACAGATCTTAGTTTAACAATGCATGCAAACATCGGTAGGCGTGATTAGTCTGCTTTCTTCATAACTTAATCATGAAGGATACATTTTAAGTGATTTGGTGATGTGCAAGTTGACAGATTGTATTAAAAAACTGAATGTATTGTGTCATGATGAATAAGCGCCCTTCATTTAAGGGCATCTGGTATTGTGTGATCGCTATATTATACCAGGAAGCCAGCTGATTGAGCATGTTTTATAAACCAGTTCGATATAACTCGTAGAGTAAGATTCACTAATGATATTGTGCTTCAAGTAATACTTGGTGTATTTGGGTCTACCTCACTTTTTATTTTGACTCGATACTTTGAAGGATTTTACGTTATCTTAGGAACATAATTTATAAATGTAAGCTTATTGATTCGACAATGGTGTGAATGAAGCTTCAAAGAAGCTACACTGGACACGCTAATTTCGAATTATTATCTCCCTCGTTATAACGGGATATTTTCAAATGATACTCAGTATTTTGATGATCGCCAAGTGCGTGAAAATTCTGAGTGAAACCTCTCAATGTATTCGTTCTGAACCGTCCTTCTCACAATTGTTATTTTATTCTGCCCGGTCCTATCAACATTGAACACTGTTCCCACTAGCTTATTGGGGTGATTCGATCCATTGGTCTGAACCAATGAGAAAGTGCATCACGTGCGCATTAGCGCGAAGACAAAATTTACATCGAATTGAGCGTCATAGCGTTTAATCTAAAATATTATGTATCATAGTTGAATACAAAAACAAAGAGTTCCGTTCTCACTCTTCTCATGACAATCTTTTCTCTAAATTTCCTTCCTCTTTTGATTCGAAACAGGCTAATTCCCATAAATGCAACGAATGCTCTCACCACAGAATATATTATGCGATGTGAAAATGACCAAATTGACTTTAACTGCGCATGTGCATTCGATGCAAAGTTTTGAAAACCAAGCGGTCCTTCAGACAAATGCTGATTCGTTTATAAACACATGTCAGCTAGCTGAAATGTATATATATATATATATATATAAATATATATATATATATAAAGCCTATTCTACGTTTCTCGGTATACAGAACGGTAAACAATTCTTTTTACCACGCTAGTTGAAATAGACGTGTAATTTCATTGAGTGACGTTACTGTTTCAGATTATGCCAAAGGTTTTGGAGGCAAGTATGGAGTGCAGAAGGACAGGGTGGATAAGGTAAGACACAAGATTCTTGGTATCGTATGTGTATGCTTGATGAGTGGTGTTTTATTGACTCCAGTCAGGATGCAGTCATTGTTTTTTTTGTTGCAATATTAAATCAGCAAAATTCTACTGTATTGAAGTATTTGAAGTACTTGTAAACTTTCCATAGAAACTCTCTTTTACAGATGTTTTCTATTTCTATAAAAATGTTATTGGTTTATTATAAAGCAACAATGCTGAAAATTATCGCCAGAAGCTCTTTGACTCCCCTTTATGTTACGTCTAAAGGGTTTCTGATAAAAGAGGCAGAAAGGGGAAAAGCAGCAGTTGGATTTTCTTTTCAACCATATTCTCCGCCAAAAGTCATTAGAGCTGCTTACTTACTCTGTTGCATCCCATCTCCCCCCCCCCCCAAAAAAAATGTTTGCTGTAGAGTTAATATCATAACTATCTGTTTTAGTTATCCGAGTTAGCATCATAACTATCCGAGTTAGTGTCATAACTATCCGAGTTAGCATCATAACTATCCGAGTTAGTATCATAACTATCCGAGTTAGCATCATAACTATCCGAGTTAGCATCATAACTATCCGAGTTAGTATCATAACTATCCGAGTTAGCATCATAACTATCCGAGTTAGTATCATAACTATCCGAGTTAGAATTATAACTATCCGAATTAGTATCATAACTATCCGAGTTAATATCATAACTATCCGAGTTAGTATCATAACTACCCGGCAGGAATCATAACTACCCGAGTTAGTATCATAACTATCCAAGTTAATATCATCACTATCCGAGTTAGTATCATAACTATCCGAATTAGCATCATATCCATCCGAGTTAAGACTGATATCCACGAGGCAAATTTCGCACCGAATTCGCTGCGAATTCGCTTCGAAATTGTCTTTGATTTCCACGAGACTGCAAATTCGCTGCGAAATTATATAATAATTTCCCCGAAAACTGAACTTTAAGGTGCCCATTTTCAGAACTGCACGCATGGCGAATGTTCCAAGATTGTTTTCTTACAAATCAAGCAAATTGGTTATTAGGTGCTGCGAAATGCTTTGAATGGTTATTAGGTGCTGCGAAATATTTCGCCGAGAAAAAGTCGAACTCTTTTCTACTTTCTTGCGTATTCGCTGCGAAATCAAAAATCAAAACTGCGCATGCCTTGATGCCTTCATCAGCGATTTCGCCGCGAATTCGCTGCGAAATTCGCCTTTTGGAAATCAGCCTTTAGTGTCGTAACTATCCGATTTAGTATCATAACTATCCGACAGAAATCATAACCATCCGAGTTAGTATCATAACAATCGTGAAGAAATCATACCTATCCGAGCTAATATCATAACTATCCGACAGGAATCAATAAAAAACATTTTTCGGAAGGGAGAAAATGTTTCGTAAAATTAAGTTAAATCAAAGACATACGATGGTGAAAAATATTTTGTTTTTTGACAAATTTTTGTTTATTTGTTTAAGTTTGTTAGCTCAGTCTTTTTATCTTTTAACTGTTTTACCTTGACTATTTTTCATTTCATTGCCTGGAAAAATTCTTTATGTTTTTTACAGCTTCGACTGACTATTATTTGTATTTGAATTTAGAATGTCTGGACTAAGTCTAATTCATAGTCAGAAACTGAAGCTGATTTTCTTTGAAAGCGGGATACTTAACAATAGCATTGCAGATAATCGAACCAAGATTAAACCACGTAGGTTGTCCTCCTTTTTAATCAAGAAGCAACACTTTCATTTTAGTCCGCTGTTGGATACGAACACCATGAGGAATTAGCAATGCATGACTCGCAAAAAGGTGAATGGCCAACATTCTAAAAACCTCATTATTCTGGTTGTCTATCAATGCTTCTTTTCTAGGGTTTTTTCAAGCTTTGTAGAGACAGAGAGGCAAAGAAAAACAAGCAAATTCTGTCTAGTCGTTCTTAAATCCAGTAGCTTCTTAACAGAATATGTCTCTACGGTTATAAGCGGATTGCAATAACATAAAAGTTTCAGTTCATTTTGAGATTCTGCTTTCTTAACTAGTATCACCCTACCCATCACATATTTTTCTACTATTCCGGCTGCTTTCGATTGAATATATTTTTCTCAACCTGAGTCTGTGTCTGAATATATTAAGTAAGAAGTATATGTCGTCGTTAGACTCGACGCTAAGGTTAGTTAGGGATGCATATCACTTTATTTTGTTAGATTGTCAATCAAACCATCTTGTTTTTGCTATAGACTATTCAAAGGGTTTTGGTGGAAAATTTGGTGTACAGAAGGATCGAGTCGATCAGGTTAGTGATAGTACGTATATTGAAAACACACGTAGATCTTGTATTTTCGAAAAAGAGTTATCTTGGTTCATTTTTATTCGATTTTTGTTTGTAATGATATATTTCTGTTATCTAGACACAACAGCCCGTGAGTAAGTATCTGTATAGCGGTAACACTTGTACAACGGTATCTTATATTGAGTTTTATTTAAAAACATAATACTTTATGTAATATCTTATCAAACGTTGGTATGCATTTCTAGAACGTTGTTGATATTTTTCGACTGGAAAAGCTGCCCTAGACTATTTCCAATGGGTTTTTAAATATTCTCATTGCATTCGGAATAAATCAGCATAATTCTCTTAGCAGTTTTATATTTAGCAGCAATGACCTTGCGGTATTTCAGCGTTTTAAATGAATATAAGTATGTTTGAACTATAAATCGCTATCTAGGTTAAAATCTAATTCCGGCAAAATGAGCTAGGTCATTGCATCAAATTTTAAAGATCCAATGCTACCAAGTAGAAGATATCATTACACCACTTTAAAATGAGAATGAAAAATCTGGTCTGAAAAAATTTTGGAGTTACATTAAGAAGATGCGGAGAGATTATGTTGGCATAGCATCTTTAAAATACAATGGCAAAATGGTTAAAGACCCCAAGGAAAAAGCAGATGTTCCAAATAAGTAATTGTCTTTGTATATGTAAAGGAAAGACCTATTGAACCAGCATTGCAAAAAGTGTCAACCGTTCCTAACATGGATGATAGAGTAATAAGTACACCCGGTGTTACAAAGTTAATAGAAAACTTGAAACCATATAAAGCAATTGGTCCTGATCAAATCAACCCTGTTGTTATGAAGCAACTTGTGGTAAACATTGCACCAATTCTTACAATGCTTTATCATAAGTCAAATGAAACTGGCCATATTCCAATGGACTGGAAAAGAGCAGAAGTAATACCAGTATTCAAAAAAAGAAGCTATTGACTTTCACTTATTCTAGCATTCGTTCAATTAACGGAAATCACGGAGTCTCTATATTATCTTTCTCGAGATTTTTGTCCACAATCAGCTTTCAGCTTCGCATTTCACAACCGAATAGAATCTTGATCTTCTTTTGGCAAAATACGTCTAACGTCTTGATCTTTCCAAATTTTACACAAAGGTAAAGAGTAAATCTTCCATTGCCAACCTTCTTTGTATCGCAAAGAGCAATAGCTTGTAATTATCGCCCAATTTCCTTGACATATATCGCCTGCAAAACCATGAAACAATCCTTACAAGCAATGTTATGAAGCCTGCATCTCAAAACAATATACCATATGAACTGCAACATGGATTCAGAGAGGAACGCTCCTGTGAAACCCAGCTACTTGAATTCGAGAGTGATTTATTGCATGAAGGACAACAATCTAATGTTCTTATCAAGGGTTTTTCTAAAGCTTTTGACAAAGTGGGACACAAGAGACTGATGGAGAAGCTCAGTTACTATGTGATTAGCGGGAATACAAATAAATTGATTAAAAACTTCCTAGGCAATAGAGACAGTTGTAATCAAAGGGTTAAACTCTTATGTTGCCAGTGTGACTTCTGGAGTTCCACAGGGCTCTGTCCTGAGCCCTTAGCTGTTCCTGCTGTATATTAATGATTTACCGGAAGACTTAAGTTCCAGGGTTCAATTTTTTGCGGATGATACTGTAGCATATTAAACAGTGACATCAGAGAGAGGTGCGCAGGAGCTCCAGAAAGATCGTGACAAAATGGGCAAATGGGAGGAATATTGGCAAATGGAATTTCATCCAGATAAGTGAAAGGTGCTGACAATAACAAGGAAGAAGAATCCAATTTGCCTACACTTTGCATGGTATTGTACTGGGACGAGTCTCATCAGCAAAATATCTTGGTCTTACCCTGACAAACCAGTTTGACTGGAATGTGCATATAGACAACATCACTAATAAAGCCAATAAAAGTTTGGGTCTTCTAAAGCAAAATGTCGGTAAAAAGAATGTGCAGTTAAAATATGTTGCATACAACAGTCTTGTTCGTCCTCACCTTGAATATGCAGTACCTTTTTGGGATCCATATACCAAAAAAGATTGATAAATCAGAAATGATACAGAAGGGAGCTGCAAGATATGTTCTAGATCGATATCATTAATCTGCAAGTGTAACTAGAATATTAAATGAGCTTGGATAGAAGAGCCTAGAGGAGCGAAGAAAGCATATGAGACTCACAAAGCGAAAAAGTCATATGATGATGTATAAGATAACAAATTTGCTATTTAACACCGTGTCTGAGACAAAATAGAAATTATAATGACTTCGCCTATATCCTATCTGGGACAGGGCCAGACTATTTCAATTGTTCATTTTACCCTCGCACCATAAAGGACTGGAACGTTCTCCCAAACCATGTTGTGAAAGCATCAACCATGGACTCATTTAAGACATTCTTGTCAACAGTATAGTAATATTTTGAACTAATTCCTTTTTGTTGATTAATCACCTTTTTTCTTTTTATAAATACTTTAGGTCCCTGCATGTGAGCTCAGTGACCACCAACCCCTTACTTTTTTTCCCTTGTAATTCAACCCAACCAAGTTTTGTCAAACGGCTGTACATGCAGTGGCCAATCGTACTTCATCAGCGGAGCCCACAATATTTATTAACCTATGTAAATGTAGCAACCCGAGTATAAGGTTATGAATTATGAAAATACAAAAACAAGATATCAAACCAGTTAAGCACTCATTGTATTCCTGAAGTCATCAAAATTCGTCCTTCTTACAATCAATCGTTTCCTCACCCCACATACATTCCTTTAATAGTCGATAAGCCTAAAAAGCAAATGTATATTTTTTTACTTTAATGTTAGTATTTATCTGTCTTGCAAAAATTATATTTCAAAACTTATGAATCCTTGAATTGACTACAAGTCGTGAAATTGAAAAATGTTTTCTTTTAGTCTGCCGTTGGGTTTGAACACCATGAAGATCTGGCCGTTCATGATTCTCAAAAAGGTATGTTAATATCAATTATTAATTTCATTATTAATATCAATTACAATTTCTTCTTTACGAAGTCTCCGAAAGGCTCGAAAAGCGGTAATTAACGTGGCATTGTGAAGTTACGTAATAGTTATTTTTTGTTATATAATAGTTTCTGTGTTCGTGGAAGCTGTGCATTGTTGTGATGATGTAACGTTTAATAGTTTCTGCGTAGCGTAGCCACCTTGCTGTAGATGTTGCTTTTATATTGCGAGATGTAAGATTTTGTCACGATGTAAGATCGAAAACTCCGGCCAAAAGTCTTTGGTGCACCCTGTAGTATGTCTATTTAAGTGCACACTCAACAATTTAAAATATTCCGGCTGTAAAAAGCAGAAATTTTACCCTCTCTCCCATAACAATTATACTTGAAAAGTCCATAACTTAAACTACATAGTTTCTCTAGAAGTATGAAGTGAGAAAGAATGGTTTATCGATGAAGTTAGAACATTAACAAGGTGCGATTCAGAGGTTCTGCTATGGCGTACAATCGCATGCAGGAAAGGAGCGGGAAACTAGTGGCATGATCAGAGCCGTAGCAACATTCTTGTCATTTTTTTCCAATGCAAATAGTAATTACTGAAAGCAAAACAGGGCTAAAAATCGCGACATAATACTTAAGTTTAAAGCTGTTCTATCGTAGATCAAAGCTGTTTTATCGTAGATCAGAGCTGTTCTATCGTAGATCAAAGCTGTTCTGTTGTAGATCAAAGCTGTTCTATCGTAGATCAAAGCTGTTCTATCGTAGATCAAACCTGTTCTATCGTAGATCAAACCTGTTCTATCGTAGATCAAACCTGTTCTATCGTAGATCAAAGCTGTTCTATCGTAGATCAAACCTGTTCTATCGTAGATCAAAGCTGTTCTATCGTAGATCGAAGCTGTTCTATCGTAGATCAAAGCTGTTCTATCGTAGATCAAAGCTGTTCTATCGTAGATCAAAGCTGTTCTATCGTAGATCAAAGCTGTTCTATCGTAGATCAAACCTGTCTATCGTAGATCAAAAAGCTGTTTCTATCGTTAGTCAAAGCTTGTTTATATCGTAGATCAAGGAAGTCTGAATTCTTAGTCGTAGATCAAGCTGTTCTATTCGTAGATCAAGCTGTTCTATCGATCACGCATCAAAGCTGGTTCTATCGTAAGATCGAAGCTGTTCTGTCGTAGATCAAGCTGTTCTTCGTAATCAGTGCTTTTGAAAGATGCTATCGCGAGCTGTTTTACTCGTAGACAAGCTGTTCTATCGTAGATCAAAGCTGTTCTATCGTAGATCAAAGCTGTTCTATCGTAGATCAAAGCTGTTCTATCGTAGATCAAAGCTGTTCTGTTGTAGATCAAAGCTGTTCTATCGTAGATCAAAGCTGTTCTATCGTAGATCATCAGAGCTGTTCTATCGTAGATCAAACCTGTTCTATCGTAGATCAAACCTGTTCTATCGTAGATCAAAGCTGTTCTATCGTAGATCGAAGCTGTTCTATCGTAGATCAAAGCTGTTCTATCGTAGATCAAACCTGTTCTATCGTAGATCAAAGCTGTTCTATCGTAGATCAAAGCTGTTCCTCTGACTAAACATCTACGTTTCATTTATTTCTGCTCTGGCAGTGGCGTAAATCAAATGCATTCTCATTTAAATATTTGCTTTTATCAGATCATTCCAAAGGATTTGGTGGCAAATATGGTGTTCAAAAAGAGAGGCAGGACCAGGTAGCTTTTCAAACCATATTTTATATAAATTTTTTGACATGTGAGCAACATGAAAATGAACACTAAAAAATAGAATTCGAATATTGGCTATGACATGAAAAAGTAATATCGAGCTCTGTTTCCCTTGTGAAATGAAAGTTGATGATGATTTAGAATTACTTTCTTGCCAATGTTGGTTGTTTATAACAAAAACGACCCATAAACGCGTAACTGTTATTGTAAAGCTGTGTCCTATATGCGATCCAAACATAGGGGAAGTTCCTGTGAAAAAAAGTAACTGTTCTTAGCCAAGAACATGATGAGGTAGGGTGGCCACTTACTGTCTTTAGATTCCCAGGGTAACTATCTGCATATCGCTGCACTAAGCCTCGGAATCATCGCTCAGTCCTGGATTCGAGTCGGCCACCTTTAGCACCGCAGGCAGTTTACTCTTAGTCGTTGGGTCTCTGTGTTAATGATTATACCTGGCAAATTTTGAAATGATAACAACTCAAGCGGTACACTCTTCCCGTACCAGCATTGTTCGAAGTAGGCCCATTCCTCGGGTTTATTTCCCTATTATATTTGCTTATTCTTCATTCTTCATCGCTGTTAAACCTGTAAATGCTTGATGAATCTGAGAAAATTCTTTTAGTAAATAAGATAGTTAAATATTATTTCTTTAAGGTTTGTTCGTTCTCACAAATTTTTATTCTTTTTGCGGATAACTTCTTTAGGTGGGGATACTTCAGTACCTTCCCCCTCCTCCTTCCTATCATCCGTTGTCTGTATGTGTTTGTCTTGTAACTTTTCTGCTTTAATGAGTTCCCTTATGGTTATCAGCCGAACCACCGCCATTTTTCCTGAATTTGATAAAATCCTCATTTTTTTGAACTTCTAATGTTTTAGTACTGTTTTTTTTGTCAGTCAGCCGTTGGTTTCGAATACCACGAGCAACTTGCAGCTCACGATTCTCAAAAAGGTATGTTTTAAGTTTTCAAATTTACTACTTATTGAATGCAAGCTTAAAGGAATTGCTAAGTCTAGTGAAAAAACTGTATGCTAAACCAACTAACGCACACTCATAAATGAGCAAAACCATTCGCGTGACGTATTTACGAGAAAAACATACCTTGCAAAATGAAGAAAATCATTTGAAAGACTCTGATTGACAATAAAACTTTGTTTTCTCGTTTTCATGCCCATAGGTTCTTTTAATACGGTTTTAGAGTTGAAAAAGTTTAAAGGTAGCAGAGGTTTTAGAGTTGAAAAAGTAGGCAAGTTCTTTTTACGTTGGTTTGAAAGTGTTACAGCAATGAGAATTGCACGACGACTTTCTAGGCCATTAATATCAGTCGAAAACAAATAGCTGGAAGAAGAAACATTTTTTGTTGCTTGACTTAAGGAGAAACTCATCTCTTTGATTTCTGTTACGTTTGAAGGCCTCAATTTTTTTATACCTCATTATCCAAATGAAAACGGGGCTGGGGAGGAGTTTCACAAAGATTTCCAAAGAGGTTTTCGCCCAATGTATCTACGACTATGGAAAAAACACAACTTAGCTTAAGAAAGCCACCGAGAGCGAAATGATGACTGAATGACTGTTTTATGACATGTGTGACAAATGTTGCAATTTGTTGCTAAACTCCTCACTGCTGGTAAGCAATACATAGTAAACTGGATGAGCAATTGTTTCATTGAAATTCTTGGAGTAGTAATACACTAGCTATTCGTGCTAGCAACTAGTTCATTTAAGTTATCAGCATGATGCTTACTTTCGTGAGTACTGCACTACTTTTTTGTGTGTACTGCATTCCATGGATATGATTGGCACCTTGCCTTCTTTGGTGTGTAGCACACTACTACTCAGGGAAGTAATGCTCTAGAGAAATTGAGAGTTCGTGCCAGCATCTAATCCGGTGATGTTAATAGCATGTTGCTAAATTTGTGAATAGCGCACTGGTATTCGTGAGTACTGCACTAGTCTTTGAAGCTATTTTCATGTTGCTTTTTTGGCGATTAACTACTTTCCGAGTGAGAAACATTCCATAGAAAGGTTGGCCTGCGGCTTACTTTGATCGGCAATACACAAACTATTCTTACGCGCTATTCATTCTAGTGTATTTATTATACCAAAGCAGGCCCACTCTCGCCGACTCTCATTCTTTCGTTTAATTGCATACTTGTCTGTGACGGCTAATAGACTGATGTTAGATTGTCATGTATAAAATAAATGTCATTTTTTCAATTCACAAATATAATTAAGCAAATATAGACTATACACAGAAATAGTTTGAAATTTGTTTATTCATGAACAAGACACAAGTTTCTTCCACCATCGCCTGCTCTTCGCTTTATGAAGACTCTGGTTAAGTTGATGGATGACGTCATTCAACTCGCTATTCTCATCATGCGCCCCACGTAACTGTTCTTCCAGCAAAAACTTTGAGTTCTTTTCCTTCTCTCCTTCTTCGTTTGACTCCTTAAGCTGTTGCATGAGCATCTGGTTTTCACTCTCAAGTTCATTGATTTTATCTATTTGCTCTTTTTTCTTCGATTTCAATGAGGCATTGTCTGATTTCATTTCAAGACTATGATCCAGATGTTTCTGGTACTCCACAATCATTGTCTTCAGTAATTTGTTCTTGTCTTCTTCAAGGGTTTTATTCTGAAATTTGAAATGAAACTTTGTTTCTAACTTATTCAACAGCTGATGCAAGAACTAGATATACAATCACTTAAAATGGATACGCTTCTTACAAGTGGTAGTTTTCACAATGCTAGGGGTTTGCTAGAGAGTGAGGTATTTCTACTCAATTATCAAGCATACAATAATTCAACTTACGTTTCCTTCCATGACAAAAATCTTTGCCTCCAGATCGTTTGCTTGTGTCTTCCAGAAACTCATTTTCGAAGTCATTTCCATCAGTTTTGAGGATGCTACTTCACAGTTCTCGTTTGCCAGTGCAAGGCTATGCTGAGTCACACATAGCTCTTGTTTGGTGCTTTCAACCTCATCTTCTAATAAAGTTGTCTTTTGTTTCAGCTGTTCAGTTATTTCTTCACTCGTTGAGAGCCTGTGCATAATGGCCTTCTCTTGTTCCTTGGTCTCGAAAAGCTAAAAATTAAAAATGCAAATTTTTAGGTAAAAAGGTTTTCAAGCCATAAGACAAATTTCAATTCTGAATAAAGTAATAAACTCAAATGGAATACATCCTGTCATTTTGTTGAAACTTCTGCATTTGATAAATTTTGACACTGAAGTTCAAAACTCAGTAGACAATCTTTTCTTGGTTCTTTTACTACTATCCTCTCTCACTAACTTTATAAATTCGCTGACTTTCTTTCAGAAATGTAATTAAGATTTAATGTAACAAGGGATTAATAACTGTATCACTCTTTCGTTCTTTTTCAAGATCTCTTCGTGCAAACTACCATAAAACGCTGGAAATTTTCTACGTTAAAGAGTGTATGCACAAGCTAATGAAAGAGTTTACTTTTCTTTTGGAGCTTTTTCTATCACAGCGTAACATTTTATCAGTATAAGCATAGCTACTTTTCTGTTTCAAATTAACTGCTCTATGCCATGACTAATAACAGTACTTTATTCTTGAGAATAGCTTGTGCTTACCTTCTTTGTCAGTGACAAACATTCATCACCAGAATCTTCAGCTCTTTTTTCCCACTCCACCACTTCTGTGGACAATTCCTCTAATCTAGCCAAATTTTTCGAAACATCTCCTTCCAGTACCATTATTTTCCCATTGAATTCTTTGACCTCCGTTTCAAGAGCAGCTTTTTCCTTTTCAAGTGCGTTTATCTTTCCATCGCTTTCTGAAAGTTTCTTATTGGTGGTAAAAGCTTGCTGCTTCATTTCAAGAATGTCTCCACTCTGCGCTGCTTCTCGTTCTTTGGCAATGTTTAGCTGTGAAGTAATTAAAAGTTATTTGTAACAACCAAATGTGCAAGGAGTGGTGTCATGTTGATCAATTTTCAAAAGTCATAAAATATTTTGTCTTCTATTCGGTGATTGGTCTTGGACATATGAAAATTTCTAAATGAACTTCTTACCTGGCTTTGTAATTTTTGCATCTCAATTTCATTATCTTCTCTTTGTTCTTCCAAAAGCTCCTCCAAAGATTCAACAATCGCTTGATTGCTCAATGATTCGACCATCTTTTCCTCCCGTAATCCTCGATTCTCTTCTTTCAAAGTTTCAACCTCATCCGTGAGGGCTTGTTTACAATGAAAAAGGTCATCGATTTTGAGTTTTAGAAGATGCTTCTCTTCTTTCCATTGCTTCTGGATTTCCTGTAACACAAAAGTTTATATTTCACTGTCAATACTTACAGTAGCTCCAGACATTCTCAACTTTATTTTCTGAGTGAATTTTAAAAATATGAGCGCTATTCAATGATAACGAAGGGTTTATAATATCATGGAAAAATCGTGTTTTGCAATTATCTAGTTAAATTCATGGCTGTTCAACGTTTTTAATCTCAAACCTTGTTTTCAAAAACCTTGTTTTCTTTTTAAATTACAACCAACTTACTTTCACTATGTTCATTGCACTCTCTATTGTCACTGGAGCTCCATTCATCCCTTCCTGGATGCAAATGCCAAAATATTCTTGTAAAAAGATGGCAAGGATCTGACTTTCGACCAACTTCTGCATTGTCAGTGTTGATTTCTCTCGTTCTTTCTCGAGTTCTGTCTTTAGCAGGAATATCTATGGTGGAATTTGAATTCAGAAATTATCTACAATAGCTACTTATCGTAGTTTGACTTTAGATATGCTTACCTTTTTTAACTTGAAGATTTGACCTCCATCTTATTGATAAAAGCCCTTGTCACTCAAAACCCTTATTGCTTCTATTCTCAAAGAATAGAAGATGTTACGTTGCTTTGCTTCGACAACTTGTTGTTTTCAGAAAGCATCTTATAAGGAGAATGTGTACAATTCTTTCTGCAAAAATCTATTTCAAACACGTTTCAAAATCACCACTTTTTCATATCGATATCTTTAAAAGCTTATCAATTTTTTCTAAAGCTGAAAACTACCTTTTCTTTTGACAGAATACCTAAACCAATATTTATGCTAGACAACCAATCAAATATTTATAAATTGGTGGATCAATGTATTTATAATTTGTTTGCTTCTTTCTTTTTCATCTTATTTTTGTCAGTAATAGAATTACCAACCTTGAATGGATAGTCCTTCCCTGCTTCTTCCTTGATCTTTTCAAGCAGTGCATGGTTGATACAGCGAAGGTTTTCCTTGTCTTTCTCAACCGTGTTCAGCTTTTCGCCTAACGCCAGCATATCCAGTCTTATTTTGGAAAGCTCTCCTTTCACCTCAACGTACCCATTTTTCGGTCTCCTTCGACTTGTGTTCGACATTGCTGATTCTTATGTAGACAGCGATCGAAAAACTCGTATTATCACTCAGAAGTTAGCTCTGATCGTAAACTCAGAACGGCACTTAAAATCAAGTGTGAAGTTGTGCTGGGGCGCGCCACTTTTATAATACTTTTGTAGATTGTGACGTCACCTAATTGCATCCCAGTAAAACTTTTACGTCACAATTAACTTTAAGTAGATCTCGGAGAAAATCGAAGCCACGGCAAAATATTATGAATTTTTCTCTTTACTCATGATGTTTTTTTATTGTTAGCAAATTTTCTACTGTTCCTTTCCACATACAGGTTGAAAATGCTTTTGGTTTTGTGGTGCGTTTCAGTTGATACATAAGTGCTAGAAACAAAACTGTTGAAGCTAAAAACCCATCCAGCATCAAATATTTCCTTAAAAATCCCGTTAAAATTTATACTACTGTCACTCAAAGTGTACCTGCTAGCACATTGCTAGCGATTATTCTTTTATAGTGCAGTAGTAGTAGTTTAGCATCATTCACCTTCAAGCGTAAAGAAAGTAACTAATGCTTTGCAAGAGTCACTTTGATGGTTAGTAGGATTGTCAAGTTGTTAGTTGGTAGGATTGTTCTGTCTTTGTTCGCCTTACTTCAAGAGAACTATTTAAACATGAGCAAAGCAGTTCTGTGGAGATAACTTGTTTGGGGTACGAGCTATTAGTAGCGATCCCTCCCCCTTTTTCTAAAATAATTAACGACGTTTCGAGCATAGCCCGTTATCAAGCTCTTGTCAAGCAAGAAACTAGTACATTTCCAGCCAGACATATGCTCATGGTGATATTCCTCAGGGCTCGCGACTTAGTCATCTTATTTTCATATTCTATGTAAACAACTTTAAGCAGTACCTTGGAATGTTTCCTTGTAATATATATGTGGATGATACCATTGTAACATGTACTGCAGATGATTTTGTGGAACTGTGTTGTAATATAAAATAAACGAACAAATATTTCAAAAGGATTCGCAAGGACAACATGAATATGGATAGCCAAAAGTTTGAATTCATATCAAACCTACAACAGCTTAATCACTTCCAAGAATCAGTGCATTTGGAAACTATAGTAGAAAAATCAAAAGAGTAAATAAGGCGATGGAGTAATGGTGAACGAAACATGCTCACAGCATAATTATAAGCAGGTTTCTTCATTAGGATAGCTAAAGAATTTCCTCTCGCGTACATAATTGAAGAGTTTATAGGGTCATGTTCGAATGTTCCTTGTAATGTGTTACGTCATGTTATATTGTGTCTGACTTTGACTCGTATTGAGGACTGTGTCATATGTATAGTAATGTATAGTACTTGTAGAGCATTTGCTTCTGTTAAAAGTATTCACCCAAAATGACAGGCAATGTTTTCCGTAATTTTGAACGGTTGCCGGATAGCATAAAGTTTTGATCTCTGACACTTGCCTGTCACATTTTTTCGGATGGAGCTTTTTATGGCATATGTTCTCATAAATAGCTAATCGTTTTCTGAAGAAGAGCATTATTATGCACAGAAACCGCTCAACAGCGGGCTACTTCATTTAACTCTATAATCCTGAGGATTTGGGATTGTTAGAAAAGAAAATACGAGGATTAAAATGTGATCTTTTCCAAAATAGCTACCTTGATCAGAGAAAATACAACTGAGCACGTTTGAACTTTTTTTTAAAGTTTGATTGAGATTTTTGAAATAATTAAATTTTTTTGTAGATCATTCGAAAGGTTTTGGGGGAAAATATGGCGTGCAAGCGGACAGACAAGACAAGGTAAAGTTTGGAAAGAAAGAGAAATAAAGTATTATATACCATCTGATGAGACTACTTGCTTGAAAAGCGAAACAAATTGATCTGCCTCTGGAAAATTTCTTGCTCATTATGCTGTCATGGCTTAACTACTAACATTCTTTAAATATTTTGCGTGCTTGTCTGATGTAGGTTACCATTTGCTGTTTAGAAGAGGGACATCAGATTTCGAAATATGTCATCTTCTACACCTTTGCACTGCAAAGATGGCAATTCTGATCCGTTGGTGAAGAAACATGGAACGCCTTGTTAAATGTTGTTTTTGAGAGTCTTTATCTTCCACGGATCTTCATAGCTTATAAATTAGATGTAGGATTCCATTTGCTGTTTAGAACAGGGACTTCAGATTTCGAAATATTTCATCTTCTACACCTTTGCACTGCAAAGATGGCAATTCTGATCCGTTTGTGAAGAAACATGGAACGCCTTGTTAAATGTTGTTTTTGAGAGTCTTTATCTTGCATGGATCTTCCTAGCTTATAAATTAGATGTAGGATTCCATTTGCTGTTTAGAACAGGGACATCAGATTTCGAAATATGTCATTCTACACCTTTGCACCGAAAAATGGCAATTCTGATCCGTTTGTGAAGAAACATGGAACGCCTTGTTAAATGTTGTTTTTGAGAGTCTTTATCTTGCATGGATCTTCCTAGCTTATAAATTAGATGTAGGATTCCATTTGCTGTTTAGAACAGGGACATCAGATTTCGAAATATGTCATTCTACACCTTTGCACCGAAAAATGGCAATTCTGATCCGTTTGTGAAGAAACATGGAACGCCTTGTTAAATGTTGTTTTTGAGAGTCTTTATCTTGCATGGATCTTCCTAGCTTATCAATTAGCGACAGGATTGGTATTGGGACTGGCGCATTTTTGTGCCTGTTGACTTGCAAATTCCAGGGCATGAATAAGATCGAATCCTTTTTATTCGAGTGAAATATCACTTTCCAATCATTGATCATAACACATATCTTCTTTAAAATCCTTTAGTCTGCTGCTGGCTACGAAGATAGAGAACAACTCAGCAAGCATGCTTCTCAAGAAGGTAAACTTTCCACATCGATTTCCTTTCCCCTCAATGGGCATTTCGTATTGATTACAGTGACCAGTTTATGTCAAATCAATAAGCATTAACAATATTACCATGACATGGACGATTTGTCCCTTATGCATAGGTTCAATACGCTGAAAGTACATATTGACGTTCAATTATCTGAAAAATGTCGTCATTATAGATTCAGCACAAGCTTGGTAATCACAGACTCTTTTTTATTCAGGCTCAGAATCATCCTATTTTAAGAATATTACGATATATATTGCTCAGTTTCAGCTCGCGCATTTGTGTCTAATTTTTCAGCAGTTGCCAGTTTTGCGTTGTTCAAAACAGGGAATCGCAGAACCAACATATCTCGATTTTCCAAAAGGGTGGTTTTTATTCAAAAGCGGGTGAATTCTTTTGAAACCAAATCAGATTTGAAAAAAATAAAGTGCTTTGAGAATATATTCAGACTCAAAAAGATAATTTCTTAAGAATATCGACTTTTATTTTGTTAATTAATTTTATAAATTTTCGAATTCTCTATTGCTAAATGAAATTAAGAAATTCTCGTTACTGTATCCTGGTTAATAATATTTAGTATTATTATATATAGCTTGTTATTATACCATACTGTATAACCCTATTCTATGTAATTTTGCTACTTAAATTGTGCCCACTCCATTATTTTTGATAACTTTATAGGGTGTGGGCTCGAAGATCGTCTCGATTCTCTCAGCATCCTAACCAACTATACTAACAAAACATTGTTATTTCAATGATCTTAATATTTTGTACACAGCTAATTAAATATCAAAATAAATTGTAATCCAAAATTGTTGTTGCTGAATTACATGAATTTGAACTTGAATTTGAATTTGGAAAAAATTCATAGTATTCTTATAAAAAGAGTGTGTTTCAGATACTTGGCAGAGCCTGGTCGTCTTTTCATCTAAAGACATTTACTTTCCTTTATACTGTAGAATTTCGGAATAGGTTTTTTCGAGTTGATCTGTTGGCCTTCATAATCTGAGATCAGCCTTTTTTGTATTCCGTAGATTATTCAAAGGGTTTCGGGGGTAAATACGGTGTACAAGAAGATCGCAAAGACAAGGTCAGTTGAAATTTAGCCCGAGGAGTTGTTTAGGTGTATTGATGAAGCTTTTGCTATATTTGTTCCCAAACCACAGTGAAGGAAGCCCTTGTGTGCTTATATTAAGCTACCCTGGGTACTAGACTCACTCTGTATAATATAGTGAGTGTGGTTTCCAGTGTAATATTAAGCTAATCTTTGTAATATTTACAAATATCTGCTAAAGTCAGTAACTTTCCTCAAAAGAATGTATGGTGTTTTACTGAGGGAAGGTAGAGTTTTTACCAAGGCTAGATACTTCATCTAAGATTGATTTTTCAGCTGACCAGGAAGTCATATTACCTTTAGACTTCTGGTTTTGAAGCCACTTATATTCATAGGAAATTATCAATAGACTAGACTTTAAAAGGCCTATGAAACACAACTTAAAAACGGCGCAATGTGGATATATAAGTCTTTAGATTGGTTTGTAAAACTAAAATCACGTGAGTAGTATTGCTTTGCTGCACTTTGGTGCTTTTTTGTAGTTATTAATGCATTTAACCTGGTTCCACAACATCAAAATTACTATGTTTGAATTTTCGTACTGTATAACTTTGATGCTATAAAGGCATGTCCATTAAGATTAAAGTCTTTCATTCTCATGGCTTTTGCATCTAGCAGTTTAAGGACTGAACTGTATTGCTACCTTTGCACCACTCTCCGTGGGATACCAATATAAGGCCACCTGCGAATCACCAAGGATTCATGACGCTGTCTTCCATTTGACGCTCTCTTATCTTAAGGCAAATCAATTTGATTTATTGTAGGTCGAAGCTCAAAGACCGTATTGCATTTTATTACTTCAAACTGAACTCTTCTTGCTTCAAAATTGTAATAGGCCTTTTAACATGGCACCAGGAAGCGTAAACCATACTGATGTTACTTAAATAAACATTTTATCCGAGATGAAACGCCTTAGGAGTATAAAACGTCTGTTAATGCCTATAAGTTGACGGAAAATGTCCAAAGATGAATTTTATCTTAGTCTGCAGGGACGTTTGAGGAAATGAGTGGAGTTTCCTCCAGTTATCAGCCTGATAGACCACGTGGGGGTTCAGGAACAGCCAGCAGTTTGAAAGCAAGATTTGAAAACATTGCAAAAGCAGATGAAGAGGTAAAGTGGATATTTTATCTCTGAAACTCAATTTTCTGTTTTTTAAGCCTAATTGGTCTCTGTGCTGATGTTACTTTGTTTTTTGCTGACGATTGCGCACACTTGATAAGTCGTTCTTGCATTCACTCTTTTTTCTTAAGAAATTTTCGTTTTGGGTCTGAATATATTCTTGAATTGTTCTAATTTTTTTTCAATTCTGATATGGTTTTAAGGGAACATCGCCCGCTCTTAAATAAAAACTGCGCTTTTTGAAAAATGAGATATGTCATAACCAAAAATAGAAAAACTGAGCTGCTCTACCAAATGGTCGGGTTTGAGCTCCTTAGTTTCGAAAGGTATGTTTTGAGACCACCCTTGTATTGAACGAAAGTATAAGCTTCTCTGGGGTTTTCCCTGTAAAATGTCAATGTTTGAAGGTAGTGCTACTGTAAATGATTCTCGAGTCAGTTCTGTTTATTTGACACTAGTTTTTACCTGCTGCGCTGAAAATGAGGAGAGTTTATGTCCTGTAGAGTATTCGCATACTTTCTGCCAGTTTGCACATGGTGACGATGTCGGTAATCGGTTTAAAATGGCTCTCTTAGGCTATTGTAGCTTATGTGGCTTGCAACAGCTAAATGTTAAATAGAGGAGAAGCCTCTAGAAAGATATTAAAGAAGCGAGAAACTGTAAAACGAGGAGTCTTGTTGTCAGTGAAGTAGAAATAGGTGCAACTGAAGAAGCTTTTGGAGTCTATGTGCTTGCTTTAGGACGAGGAGATGATGATGATTATGTTGATTTGGCCCAGTCAAGACTGATGCATTTAAAAAAACCTTTCCAACAATTTTCTGAAACAATCTTTGAAAAAACAAAGGGTGTGAAAATTCTTATACAGCATCAAACTTGTTTTTTCTTTCCTAACCAGAATATCTTGTATATTGATTTTCGTTTATTTTTGTTATTTAATTGTATGTTAATTAGATTAGGTTTTTAGACAGGGCACAATGTAAATTAGTTTTTATCTTCTCATTACTGAATGTATTACCCTGTATAAATAATTAAAAGTCAATCAATCATTGCAATCAGTCAATCAATCACTCCAATCAACCAATCAATATGCGACTGAGGACAATGAGTTGATTTTTAATCATACCCTTTTTTTAGAACGTTTTCAGTTTCAAATATCTTCGTTTTCAATCGATTCGTTGTGGATCCAAAGCAGAAACGGATATAAATATATTAAATTTCGTGTGACTGTTGGCTTAACTTAATGTTTTGTTTTCTATCTTCTGTAGGAAAACAGAAAGCGTGCGGAAGAAGAAAGGAAACGCAGAGCGTTGAAAGAAGAGAGGGAAAAAGAAGAAGCAAAGCGCACTCAAGATAAATTAGATGAAGAGGCGCGATTGAGAAATGAGGAAATCGAGCGTATGGAGGTTGGCATGGATTTTGTTGTTGTATGACTTAGCTGTTGTTATTTTTAAAAGCACTATGTCATGACGCGTTTTGTTTTCCACTTAAACTCCCATTGGTTGTGCTAAACAATAGATCGATTTTTACGTATCCAATCGGCACAGTAAGACTTATTCTCAAAGTTTTCTCAGTCATACGTGCAGCAGAGCCTATTTTGCCTTTACACATAATGCCTTTATTGCAAGGATGAAATTATCTAAATCTTTATTATCAAATTTTACTTAAGGATTGTGTTCCAGATTGTGTTCCAGATGACGACTCTCTGTATAACGCAGTGGCGTCAACCAATAAAACTATTTTCGTTTTTTACTAAAAAGTCATATTTCCACAGCTGCTGTTGAGTTATATTCCTGTGGCAGTTTTGTTTCAATAGTACAGTCGACTCCGGTTATAAGACATAAGACTTCTACGCAATATTTCATTATTTGTTTCATTTAGTACAGGTTTTAACCCAATATGAAAAATGCCTCATTTGCCTTTCTTACTTCTTCATCCTGCTTGCACACATTAAGTCTAAAACACTTTAACAAACCCCTTAGTTCTTTAGTTAATTGTCTTATCAATTCTGGCAGAGAGAGCAAGAAACTCAAGAAGAGGATGAAAGTACTTATGACCAAGTTGCAGATACTGATGCCGCGGCTCCCCAGGTTTGTTGCAACGCAGAAATATTTTAAGATTACTAGATCACATTAAATTCTATTAAAAAATGAATGTTTAATAAACATTTCTCCTATCTGGTTCGGTGAACGGTGTATGAAAAGTGAGTGAGTTTCTTTATTTGAAGAAACACCTTCTTCAAAGCTCATCGTAGAAAAAGAGAGCTATTTTTTATAAAGAACACGTTCCTGAAGTTATCATTCTACTAGACTTTTCATCAGTATACGCATTCAAAAACCTTGCCTTGCTTTCATTTTCTGAATTCTTACCAATACCCTTATCACCACACCTACTTGGTGACACATTTGAATAAGTATTTTGGAGTGCCGTGCTTCAGCCCCCCCCCCTCCCGCCCCCCAACAAGAAGCATTCTCTCTGTATCGTCTAGCCTTCAACCTATTTTGAAGGTATAGATGTTTAGTGCATCAAGACCAGAATCACGAATAGGTCATTTTCTGTTTAAACAGAAGCACTACGCAAGACAATTCTGTTTATTGTTCCAAAGAAGTTTTATATATTAAGTCTTATCTTGTTTCATGATCTTCATTTAGGAACTATTTTGCAAAGTGGCTTGAGAACATTCTAATGAATTGAAACCGGCACTGTCTGGAATCTTATCCAGCACCCATAGGTCGATTTTGATTAGTAATTACTAATCAGTATCAGTATAGAGAGTTTTGTTAACATGATAATGCCTAACAAGCATAGGCTCTCAGTGTCTTAATACCTACATTCAGAGGCTAAGTAGTAAAAAACGCAATACAAATACAATACATTAAGCACAAACAATAAATACTGAATCCTTATTTATCACTTTTAAGGTGGAAGCAACTTATGAAGCTGTGGATGATAACCAAGGCTCGGTGCCTGCGGCCGAAGAGGTAAGTAGCCTGTTTAAATGCTCTTTTGTTTTTTTCTATTAAATCTAAAAGGCCAAAAACTACAAAGGATGAAAATATCAACTGTGCCAATCACAGCGAAAAAGGGCAGATCATTAAGTTGGCACTCACAATCTTACTTAGTGGTGAGTGCAATTACAGAATGCAAATAAAAATTCGATTTCAGAAGGCAATGTAAAAAACACAATCAAAATAAAACATAAAACATCAATCGTAATCTTTTACAAAAGCTTTTAGGGATTAAATTTTTAAATCTTGGCAATCTAACGCCCTTCGAAGCTGGGCGAAATTCTAACTTGAAGTAAAATATATTTTATTCCATAAGTTTGGTACCAGTGGCGGACATCTGGAATGGAGGGGTGGTTCCCCCCCCCCCATATTTTGGAGGGCAGTCGTCTTTTGCTCAATGGCAAATCTGACGTGATCTTATCAAAACATTAGGCTTGCCCCCTCCCCCAATATCCCTCTCCCCCAATGTATGACCATGTGTCCGCCCCTGTTTGGTACGTACGTCCATTTTTATTATGGAAATCGATCCCTCTTTGTTTTTTCCCTTTTTTCGAGACTTTTTTTATATTACTGTGTTCAATTCATTGTAAGTTTCAGCGATTTCGTTAATTCGATCCGAATCTTTAATTTCCTAAAAGGGATGGACATGATCTAATCAACCGTTTCTGTAAAATACCTTTTGAGAATCTAGTTGCTTTGAAAGATAGAATATCAAGTAGAATTTCTGGTGGTTCTATCAAAATATTTATGTTATAGGTAATGCCGTGTTACATGGCACTATTTCAAGTTTATCAATAACTATGTTGTTGATTGTATGTTTTTTATCACAGGACAACACATACGAAACATTAGGCGATTCAGCACCAGCGGCTGCTGATACTCAGGTAACACCGTTATTCTTTTCGAATCTGTATATCGAGGGAGAAATTTATTTAGGTCAATTTTGTGTCCTTGTAAGTCGAAAAAAATGTATTAGGAAAACGTTTATCGATATAGAAGAGAGCAACGTGTGGTTTTGGGAAAGCGCTTAGTTCACTCAGCTGAAAATGAATACCTAGTTGAAAATACTAGGGGGGTAAAAAGCGGCGTGAAAAGGAACTGGTCACCCTACCACACAATGCCATGGCCCAGGACGATGCGCTCCTGACAGCGCGTTCCCCAACATTCGATATCGAATACAGGACTAACCTTCACCTTTTCCTTTACATGTTACATTCAAATGAAGCGTTTTTGCCAAGATGATCTAAAATAGCGATCTTTGATTTAAGTTAAATTGTTCAAAGCTAGGATCTTGCTCAAAACTAAAACGTTGCTAGCTTATGATAGCAAATGTGGAGTTATGAACAACTAGCTGTAAAGTGAGGATTTGAAAATTACTGAATGTAAAACATGTACTCTCAAACCATTTCACTCTCAATTTACGACAATATTTCCAAGATGTTAAGAAAGAAAACAACTCCAAGATGATTATCAGCACTATTTTTAATAAAATGCTGATTCCTCCAAATCTCACAATAGCCAGGTTGCCATCACCACATCGCGATCAACCCTAAATCCAGACTCTCCCATGCCAGTCACATGTCGTTTTCCGGCATTCCTTGCCTCTGTGATGCATCAAACACCATTGCAATAAAAAAGACAACAAAAGGCTTGCCAATCTTTCTTTAAGGTTTAAACCTTCTTGTTTTTGATTCACTTCTTTATGAGTCCCGTTTGGAAAGTTGTTCTTCTCCATACCACTAAAGAAATTGAATTCTCCTTTCATCATCCAATTTTGCAGAAACTCTTGAATTTTCTATTCACAATATCCGCAGCTTGGAAAACATATGGCTTTGTCTATTTTCCTTTGTCTCAATATCTCTTGCTTTTCCGTCAAAGGGATTGGTGCCATAATGAAACAGCTTTGTCCCTGAAATGTTCTCTTTATGGACACAGAATGTCGACTATTTCATTTGGTCGTGCAACTTTCCTGTGTTTTTTGTGAACATGCTCACTAATGATTATTGATCAATGACTAAGTGTCCATGAATAGTTGAAGACGTTAACCCGTACAAACTTCTCTGAAACCCCTGTTGCGTAAATCTTCAATAAATTCGAGCTTCTTTTGCTGCATCTTCGCAAAGTGCACATTTTGAAAATATTGTTACTCGACATTATGTCCCTGTAAAATTTCAAATGACAGATTTAAACAATTCATAAATGGACGCTGCCTATAGAATGGTATTTAAATAGACCAATTCGACTTGCGGCCTCGTTTTGGAAATTTCTCCAAATTTAATTATACGACTTTTTTGAGCTCAAATTTGGTTTTGTCACAATAGATTTAGGCTGGATACATTTTTTCATTTAGTGTGTGCTTGTAATGTGATGTTGTTTGTTTTCAAATTTGATGATTTTCATTTTTTTCTGACCGTTACTATTTATGTCATTGATCACGTGACATCTGGGGAGGATTCTTTGAATACCCTTCAAAATTTTAAGGTATTGGCCCAAGGAAGTGGAAACAAGTAGTAAACCTAATATTACCCTCTCCGCCAGTTTGTTGGGGAAAATTCCCTGTCTAAATTGTTGCATACGCAAACTTGAACATACACAATTTCAATACCGTTCTATTGTAAACATTTCTTCTATCAAAAGATTTTTCATTGCTTCATGGCTCTTCGGTTTATTTTAAAGCTTTGAACACCTTTTATATATTCTATGTCATGTAGACAAATTGAAATGCGTTGTTTCTGTATAAAACATTGTTAAAAGCAATGATCAATATCAGATATCAGTTGTTGCCAAAAGCAAAGTCTCGTGTTCCTTTGGTCGTTAACCTACTACTTTTTCAACCCGTAGCAATCTCAGTCCCATTTATTTAGGGTCTCCGCATTAATTATTAGGAAGCCTTATTGCACGACCTTATATTCGTGGATATTAAATGTTGCCTTAACTCGATAGAATAAATAGAAAGGAACACGCGGGATAGCTTCAAAGCACGTGGTCTGTTTCATATTCCCACAAAAGCTTCCACGAACAACTGAGTATTGTTCTGAAGCGGTAAAAGACTTTTTCCAATATTTGATGTTCTTGATTGTGTAGCGAAATGCAGGGGAAGTAAAAGTGTAGCCTGAGGTGTTTTCAATAAAGAGTCTGCAAAAATAATTATTTAGCCTCATGGAAACAATTACACGTGTGAATCGAAGGCCTTTAGATATCGAGGAGATGTTGCCAACTTTTCTAAAGGTGTTTTAGTCCAGTCGACGCTATAGTTAGAGTTCTTATCTTGAATTAAAAAGCTCTTGATATATAGGCAAGGGTCTATTTATACCATAGGTTTATGATATTCCCCTAAAGATGTGTTGCTAGAGGTTTTCGTGTTTTCATAGGCATTTAAATTCACGATTGTCCTTATGAACATTTAACTGTTGTGTTGAGGAACGTGCCTGCAAGGAAATATCTTAATCTAGACAATGATAAAGAAAGTAATATTTTGAAAAGTTGGGAATTAGTTCCTTTGAAATCGGGATCGGATAGAATGTTGCCTAGGGCATGATATTTGAGACCAGTGCCCAGTTGTCTCACAAAAGATCACCAGGCTATTTAATTTCAAGAAAAACGAAAACTGCCGTTTCCTTAGATTTTCATGTTCAAACTTGCTATGTTTTATTGGAAAGCCTCAGTCGAATTTTGGAAACTTTTAAAGTTGATGCTTTTTACAGCTTATTTCAAATTTACGATTGTTTGATATGATTGTTGGGTGGTTATGTTGTGAGATTTTCCAGTAAAATGCTTAGTTCCTATGTTTTAGTCAATGGTAGAAAAAAGTGTGATTTTGTCGTTAGCTTGCTCTTGGTGTTTCAAATAGTCAGTAATTTATTTGCTGGCGTGATTATACACTATACTTTTATCTGCTTTGTATTTTAGTTTTCTCGAAATCTCTAATGACAGCTTGACACGACAATCTTTGATGATATTTATATTTCTGTCTTTCAATGGTGTTGAATGCAACGTTAATAGTCACGATTACATTTCTTCAATAATATTACTTCGCTTCCCTAAAACTTTTTTCAAACTTTTTCAAACTTAGTGAACTTTTTTCAACTTTTTTCAGACTGGTGGAAGGTGTGCTGTTGCCCTTTATGATTATCAAGCAAGTATGTCATTTGTTTTTTTTGTTTAAATCAAATTTCATGATTTTTAGTAACTCTAGAATATTTGGGTTTTTCACAGAAATTTCAGAAAATCTGTTCCTTTAGGATCATTGCAGACTATTTAGTTTTTTTGTGGATTTCGTGATAGGGATACATCTTGCATTAATCAATTTGTTTTATTGTCACTATCTTTGTCTCATGAATACTTAAATATAATATATTCTGTTCATTTAGAAGTATGGAACTTGTCATAGCAAACGTGTTGTTTTTCACAGCTGTTTTAAGTTTATGAAAGTGCCAGTTCAAGTTGACATTAGGAAGAATCCTTCATTTCAAAGATTATAAAAAGCAAAATTTTCGTTTTTGCTACGTTTTTGCTGAATCTGTCAGTTATGGAGACGGTTTTTGGTACTCTGTGTCTCATTTTGGCCAAAACAAAATTTTAATCATATTACAGGTTGAAATTGGAGGGTAAATAATGCCATTTTATTTTCGTATATTGAACCACTTTATTTCTGACTTTATTCCGATGTCGGATGTATTCCACTTAATCAGTGTACCGTTCAGAGATTCAGAGTTAACAATAGGCGTTTGTGATCGAGCAAACATTGCGAATTAGCTTTAGGTTGCCGATTGGATACGTAACAATAGGTCTATTGTGTAGTCCCACCAATGGAGAATCTAAATGGCCAGCGAAATGCTTCGAAACATAGTGCCTTTAAGCTAGTGGAAACTTGTCAATATTAGTAATTTTTTTCCATTTAAGCACAATTTTTATTGACTGCTAAACTCCAAAACAATTTTATATCTTTTGAAGTTTGTATCAGTTCGTTTTGAGTTGCAAAATAGAAAATGATGCTATCGAATGATGCTGTCCTATGCATGGTTATTTGCCGATGTCTTGTTTCATTGGTTGATTTTAAATATGCCTACTTAAAAACTAACTTCAAACTGGCATGGAAAACAAACAATTTAGGGATCTTAAAGTACTTTTCATCTAACACACTGCCTACATCCGACATCGAATGATCTCTAAAAGGCGAGCGAAAATCTCTATCAAGTTTCGGGTAGCAAAATGCATATAACGGAGAAAGGGGCGTTTTTTGGTTCCATGATTTGAACGGCTAGTACTCAAGTTATGTGGGGAACTAACGAAAATTGAGCTCATTTCATTTATCTATTAGGCTGTTTTTTTCTGTTAATATACTTTGAACATTATATTTGTATACTTATTTATATTCTTAACTACTGGTGTTACTTTTTTGTAGCTGCTGAAGACGAGGTGACATTTGATCCTGGTGACGTCATAACAGACATTGAAGAAGTCAGTGACGGTTGGTGGCTTGGGGATGTAAATGGGAAAAGGGGGCTTTTCCCAGCCAATTATGTAGAAATCAAGGAGTAGTTCGAAAATACGGCGGACGAAGTGCCTTAGGCAGTTGATATAATTATAAAGCAAGGGTAATATCAGCTTAAATTCGCTTTTTTACTGAAATCAAGCCAGTATTAGGTAATATTTTGTTTATTTAATTGCATTTGTTATACCAATCTTTTGACCTATATTTTATTAAATTTGCAGATAAAATGATACATGATAGTTTTAATACTAGGATGTATGTTTTTTTCAGTTTTTCTGCATTTTGCAGCTTTATGGTTTGCTTCAACTTCAAATGAACTTCAACTTTAACTCACGCAAATTTTGAACATCTTTTGGCTAGAGACAAGGATAAACTAGAATGTGTCTTATATAACAGTCAATGTTTGAATTAAAACATTCATCTGAATCGTAAGACATTTTCAAGTAGTTGAAAAGTCGAATTTTGCCCATCTCATTATTACATCATGAAAATTACTGTTCACCGGTCTGTATAGGCAGAACTGTACATGTTTTTGTGTATAGAACAGGGAGGTTCTACTGTATGGTGCTACTCTGAGTTATACTTCGGATATTACATCATTATTGCATCAGATGTTTATCTGACCATGGATATCTAAGGCTAAACATTGCAAATTGGCCTTTTTACTCCTGCTTTTATTGCAAACCTTTCTTTGCTAGTTGCTTATTCTATATTCCTTGTGCTTCTATTCAGAAACCGTTTATCACACAACACATGGAGTTTTATTCAGAATTGCTATGTCTACAGATGTTTTTCTTCAGTTGTTCGCTGATTGATTCTTTTGTCTTCCCAAGCTTCTTCCGTCAGAAATTTTCTAATTCTATGCACAATATTTGAGAATTTGATTACCGCTTCGAAGCTGACGCTTTGGTTTCTGTTCTTTGTCTATTTAAACGTTCCTTTTGGTTTGCAAATAATAGGTTTTGTCTTTCTTACCAGGAAGCATTTTTGATAAAAACACGCTTTTGTCACGTATACAAGGATTTCATCTCATATTTAAAGAAGATACGAATCAAAAACCAAAGATACAACAAGTACCTAATGTTGCGGTGGGATCAATGAAGTTGGGTGGATTTATTTTTGGTGAAGCAAAGAAACCGAAAATTAATCCAACCAAAATTCTTGAAACCTGTATATTTTCTCACCGAAATTTTCAAACGCTAGAAAAACTTTCATTGCTCGCTATTGTACTTATTTCAAAAAATGTATAGGATTTCCTGTTGTCAAATCTGATATCAAAAAGCATCGAGAACTTTTTACAGAAATTTAAGCTTCCAATTTTCTTTGAGTATTACTGTGCATCCAGCACGTAAGTTTCTTGTTCTTGTTTGTTATCAACAAATAAGATATCCACCTCATCTTAACTTTCGCCCTCTACTTCAAAAAAAATTTAATTCTCTGTAGCCTGAACTGATACTTCTACTGGCTCTTCGTAATTTCCCTTGATTGTTTCTTTGAAACGTTCCAGCGTTTTCAATTTGCACGTCTTAATTTCTAACTCATAATAGATCTGATTTCCCAATCCCTCATTGCGAATGGTGATCAAAATATGGCGAACTGTGAACGCTTCCAATTAATTTTCCTATGCGGGTTATAAGAAAAGAAATAAAAAGTCCTCTAATAACTAAAGGTTTATGGCATTTTTGCCCACTCTTCAGTTCCATTTGGGGTGACATTGAAATGTTCGATTTTTGTAACTTTCTTGATTTTGTTCCAGATCACCAACATCGTGATTTGATTTTGGATTTATCAATATTTGATTTCGTCATTGTTATGATAATAGCTTAAATGTTTTGTGATTTTTTATTTCAGTAACATGATCTTGTCAACATGAAATATTTTGGTCACAACTTTGCCATCAAATTATTTACTAGACCTTTCGGTATTTTCCCCAAAAGAACATAAATTTTCATTATATTTCGTGAGTGACCAATTTTTAATGCATTTCTGCTATCACTAGCTTGAGTCTCTTTCAACAATTTCCAAACACCATCATTGATATATTCACAGCCTTTTTATGTCCGTTCTAAAAAATTAATTTGATATATATTGTTGAAAAGATCTAGACGCTTTATATCTTTTTTGAATTGTATTTGTTACACTGGTTACCGAACCTTCGTATGAATTTTTGGCAAGCTTAATAATATTTTGGTTTAGAGTAAATAGTCACTGTCATAAAAGAATCGACATTTTAGAAGGCAGGACAGAAACAAACGGTTTTGATTGTGCAAATTTCTGTCTGATAGAATTCAGATTGCAAACTGTTTTTGAGCTAACAATTTTTAAAGAAGAAGTCGAATAAGAAATCGAACGTCATTCTGCATCTATCAATTCTTGAAACATACGTTAATGTAAAGGATTACGATACATTTTAAGTTGAACCTACAGTACGTAGAGCGTCTATGGACATCTATATACAAAGAGCCTATCTGACATATTTTTTAACTGATTATCCGTTGAACAGTCTAGTTATCTCTCTTTGAATTAGCTTTATTCTCTGTGTTTCTTTCCAAATGGTTGATGCTAAAAATGGTGTCTATAGATAGGTTTCTAACAGGCTTCATTGCCTGCTCCATACAGGTTCTTCCGTGTTGACCCCTCGATCTTGTTTGCATCATTCTTTACTTGATAAACCGAATATGACTTCGACATTCCCAAAAAAATGTTTATCTACAAGGGCTAGGTCTTAAGTTTATTCAACAAGTTTGGAAAATACTGACAGAAAAAGAGAAATAAATTGTATAAATCTAGCCAACTGAAGCAAACTACTAACATTTTCTACATTCACATAATTTGAGAAATCTCCGAAAGATCTTCTTTTTACTCTATGTTTGAAGCAACCAACCACTACATATATAACCTTGAATTGTTAAGCTTCAGTCAAAGCCTAACTAATTACAAATGTAACGGTTTTCAACTTCTGTAGTTAAAGAATAGCCTGAGTTCTGATGTTGCACTATGAGCAGTGGATGGAGAACCCCTATCTAGAGTTTCTTCTGAAGTAACTTTCGATATATGAAGATAGCAACAGCCCAGATGTGTTGTCATAATCATGCCTTTCTAGATGAATACGTTGCCAGTCATACCAATCTTGTGTACTGTCCCTGTTTATTCAACTCTTGCATCGTTAAGGCATTGATTCTTCAAAAATAGTGCTGTTTGAAGCTTCGTGGCTCATCGTCTCCTCAGCCGACGTTGAGTCAGTTTCTTCAATTGCTCCTGCTTCGTCAATAACTCTTTGTAGCTCTTTGATGTACATCATCGCAAACCGTAGAATCTCAACTTTTGAGAACTTCTTTTTCTCGGGAATATAAGGAATCTTTTTTCGTAACTCGTTGAAACCGTCGTTAACTTGCTTGACTCTGTTGCGTTCTCGTTCATTCCTGCGCGCAACCGCAACCGGATCCATCGTCGATACAAGGCTTTGGCAGTTCCTGCGTCGTCGAGGCCTAATGTTCAGTGACGCAATTTGTGGCTGTATTGGTCGCTCATTTTGCTGAAAGTTTTGATGATAGTTAACGCTGTTTTCCGTCGTTGTAAATGTCTGATGGAAAAATGACATTTGTCCGCTAAATGGCTGGAAATCGCTCGGGTACTCGTTGTAGCCTTGGTCTTTTTGCAAAGTCAGCAACATGTTCCCACTGTAGATATGAGCCGTATTCCTTGCTGGATACTTAAAGTCTTTAGAACTGAATTTTATCAGATGTATGGCTCCAATGACAGGCTTTTTTGCGTTCACTCCAAAGTTGCACTTTTCAGTGTTCTTACTTTTTTCTTGATCTCCAGGTTATGATTATCTCCGGGCAAATGATTATCAGAATATCTTATCTGAACTTTAACTTCTGATTCAATTCTTAATTTATATTTACCCTTCTCTCTTCGCCAGGTAGGTTTGTGCAATGTTTAACATTCTAGAACGTCTCTCCCTTTAATGCTACCCAACAGAAATTAAACACCAATTTCGAGAACTTTTGCAATTTTCACACTGCTAATAGCAACAGCTCACCTTCGCAGTTCGCAGTCCCTTGCCTCTGATCTTTAAGTATCGTCTTAATCAACAAACTAACGCCTATTTCCTTTTCTGTCATTCAATCTCATGAAAAATTCATCACTGCTCGATTTCTATTCACAAGTACACGGTTGTATACCATTAAAAACAAATATAAAAACCCTTAGCATAACAGGGACAGACGTTTGCTCATTTCGTTTTGTTACTTCTTTGATCCCGAGCCGAGCGTCTATTGACAATAAAAACGCGATCTAATTGGCCGGCCGGTGGCTGCAGTCGGCAGAACCGCCCGCCAGCCGTTAACATAGTCAATGATACCCGTACGTTCAGGGTCATATTCCAGAATACCTAATACTGCTCTTTTAGGCCATCCTTGCGAATTCATTTGCAAATCTCCGGTTTCGTAACAGAGCTATTATGAAAATTTCTGATATATAACATATAGAGTTTTGCACTGGTTGAAGAGCTTTTTAGATAGCAAGTCGAATACTTGCTTAATTTATTCATTTTTTTGGACTAGTATCAACTGTATCTTAGAGCTTCTCTAAAAAATGTTTTCATTCTAGTATTTGTGTTTCTTCAAAACTCTTTTTAGTAAGCGAATTCAACCCCCCTTCCCCCCCCCCTTCACTTAATATCCTAGAGTTTTTCGATACATTAACATTTTCCAAAACAAAGCATCAACATTTACGAAACTTAATTTGTAGAGTCATGCATTTAACTTGTAAAAAGAGTAGAAAATGGTTTAACCTCCTCGAAATACTGTACAAGCAGCAGGGAACTTAATCATGACCTTTTAAATAAGATAACAGATGCTCTAGTCTAACATTGATCACCTGTTAATGATCGTAGCTTTTAAAATTTTTTTTAGCATTTCTTTTCCTCCGACAGTCAACAACTTTTCGTGGATAGCTTCAAACTGCTCGCTTGCCGAATCACTCGCAATCCCTCTTAAACTGAAGATAAACAGATTATTGCAATTAGATTGCATATGCTTATTACTGCGATTGACTTTCTTGAAACCAAAGAAAATGCTTGAAAAAATGTAGACGACATTGTCTTGATGTTGTTGCCCATCAAGATATCATCAATAAAGCATATACCAATTTTTTATCCACGGTTATCTTCCAACTACATAAGCCTTGGCTTAGGTTGTGAGCCTTGGGATTCTCGCTTAAAGCATATTTATTCCTAAACATTCAAAAGCCAATACTTCTGTTTTAGTTTTCATTGACAGCAATATGAAATTTGTAATGATAATCAATAACAAGAAATTTTTTTAAATAATTTATCAATGATTCGAAACAGCATTTGTTTAAGAAACGGATTAATGAACCGTTGAGGTCGAGGTCTATGGTCGATTGTTTGATGGCTACCAGCAGGAAGCCGCCATGGAGAGAACATAATGAATAATTTATAAGACGCTTCAATTGATAGCATTTTGATCTTTAGGAGAGCACAATACGTTTTATAAACGATTTGAGAAGCCTTGAATAAAAACAGGGTTTTTGCTAGATAGAAGTTTTCCCTGCTTTGCAATGAGAATCAAGCACCTTTCATTTCTTATCTATTGTTATCAACTTAAAAAGTCATCTATGTATCAATACCTTTTCGTATTAGCTGTTATGTTTGCTTCGAATGGTTATCTAGCATTGTCGCAACTCACAATTAAAGAACCGATTTTGCTTCAGCTGTTAAAAGGAATCTTGTTCAAAAAATATTCCTTAATTCCTCTTTTGCTCTGAACATCATATCTGATGACATTCTTATTTCCATATGGAAACTTTAGAACAATTCCAGGCAGACGGGCCATTGATATCTTGGGAGAAGATGCTAAAAATGATATGAATGATTTTTATTTTGGACAGAGTATCATCCATTACCTCTACACCTACACTGTCAATTCATTTAGAGAAAGACATCTTGGATTAGCATTCCTGTCATTTGGATATTTCATCAAATATTTTTACGGATGAAGCTAATTGTGACTTTAATGCAAAGTATCTTTAGTCTTGATATAAGACTATTTGAGACTAAATTTGATTTAATTTAAGTTTATGGCCCCAACATTCGTTTATATGCCTGTATTGCTACATATACTAGATTTATATGCCTATAGTTCATATCCTAGAAAATGAATCTCTTCAACCGTCTTTCTATTTAAGTAATCAATTTCTATAATGAAGCTTTATAGAGATAATGTTGTAACTTTGTGCTTAAAAGCTAAAAAAAGTTTATTGCAAGTCCCTCAGAACAGGACCAAGGTGGAAAGATATTCTCTGAATTTTCATATGAGGATCTTTTGAGTCGTATTAACCTCAATAGCAATTGCCAACGAAATGTCCAACTGACAGGCATCCATTCTTTCTCTTTCCTCAAGCTCATTTCTTCTCTTAAACTTAAATATACTGTTACATTTCTCTAAGAAACGGATACCATGGAATTTTCGCCTAACTATTATTGAATTTCTTTACATATGAAATCCTATTTACTTTTGATAATTCTTATAATCATCAATTCTTTTCGATTCTATTCAACCTGTTTGTACAGCTGCATTTGATCTATGTAAATAACATCTATGTGCCTATCAATAATTCAGCAACAGTTTTTTGAGTGATTGTTTTAACGCATTGCATTAACCGTTTTATTTGCTTTTCATTTATCCAAAACATAATTAATTTGCGTTTATAGGTTTATCCTTTTAGTTTGGAGAAGAACTCTTTACTTCTGCAAAAGGGACTAGTCTTCAAACTTCAAGTGAAAAAAGACATGAAAAATTGCCATGATGGAAGCACACAGCGATTTGTGACACCTAGCGTTGCTTTTTATGCATCTGTCTGTATAGTAAAAGGAATATTCACGCTCAAATATTTTGTGATCTAAATGCTGAGGATTGCAGTTGTATGAAACAACAAAATAGAAAATTAGAAAAATGTCAAAATTTTTGCAACAACTACAGTTGTAAGCAAAAGTTTGAGACCAGGAGAAAAATAAGAAGAAATACAGTTATTTAAAAAAAACAACATATACATATGTTTATTAATATTATTCTATACATGATCAATATATAAACTTTGAATATATCTATGTTGCACATTTCGTCTAAAATTCCAGTAAAGTGCACTAGAATGGTACTTTTACATCAAAGAAATCTAATTTTGATGTAAACCTAGAAAAACCGGAAAACATGACACGAGGTCTTAAACTTGTCCACCTTAGCGCTCGATGCTGTATCCTTGATTTTTCTACATTTGGTTAAGTATGAAAAACACTTCTGCCTGAAATATAAAGCTTTCGTTTAGGAAATAAATTTGCTTTCTCTCAAGGATTGCCTACTTATCTAGTAAGTCGTTACCTAAAATGTTTTTTAGGGTTTCTTCATTCTGTTACTGTCTAGAAATATTTCAAGTATTCTACCAGAAGCAAAGTATCTCTACAAAAATAGCGAAGTATTATTGCATATGGTTCACTATGTTTGGCCAAAACATTTTGCTGTAAAATTTCAAAACAACCAATAGAATCTAGATGCATAGTTTCGAAAAAGCTTAAAAAAACTCAAGGACCTCTCAAGATCTCTGTTAAACGATTCAACACCAACCATCATTCCTGAAAGGATCTTTGAATTGTGCTCATATAGTAAATGATATAGATTTGATCTGATAAAGTATCGATCTGGTAGAGCAACAATATTGGCAAAAAAAGCAGAACATATGCAAAACAAGAAGATACTTACAAATCATCCGCCCCTTCCCTTTTGCCATATCTTTTTAGATATCGTAAACCAAACTTGAAGTGTTCTCCTCAGTTGATAGACTTCTACCCCATTTGTTTCATTAGAGATTCAGTTAGTGCATTCAAGTTTCTGTCTACTATCATTCGAGTAGCCCAGTCAAAAAATAACATCCCCAAAATGCACAAAAATATCTAAGATACGGCTTAAGAAATCCGTAGAAGATTGTATCAATTTATTTAAATTGTAGAAAATATTTTGATAAATTCCGCGACAGCTCTGGAGGCAGAAACATTTGATGTGTTTTTTCCGATCAAGATTATTGCCAATTTGCAACTGAAAATATTTGGTTTCCTCATATAATATAATGCTCACTATAATATAATATAATGCTTTTTACCTCTTCCTTGTAGTCATGAGCATTAGGTGTATTTCCATGCTATTGAAAATATGGTTTGCTGCCCTTTAGCCAATTCACTCACCTTTTAGATTATAGTCTATAGCCAGGGGTGTAGTGCTATCAAAATAACAAGAGATGGTGGGGTCTTGCGAAAAACGCTGCGAGAAACATTAGAAAATGTAGACATTGACTACTTTTTGGCATAGACAAGGGGGCCTGCTTATAGCTTTATTCAGTCAAATGGTAAGGGGCGATTGGTAGATTGTAATCTGCGTACATTGATACTGTAGCGTTTTGTAATATCAAGTGGAAGATCTTAATGTATATGAAATGTAGAAGTGCCTGAGGCACTAGCCTTTTAGTAATTTATGACCCCGTTTACACTGTCCCGTGCAAGTTTGGTCCCGTGCAAGTTTGGAACGACAAAAGTGTCACGGTTTGCCCTTCCATGTACACTAGCACTGTGGAACCGAGACGATTTTGCTCTGCTATCTGGAGCAGTTTTGTTGCTGCTATGAAAGCGAACAAATTTTGTACCGTCACAGTTCCGTTTTTGAACGGGACAAGGTAAACACCTATCCGAGACAATTTTGTCAGGGATTCACAATGAGGTCTTCTGTATGGCTGTTTCAGGTAATCGTGGCTTTGATTTTGGACGATTTTTTAGACGAGGGATTTGTCAAGATGGCTCTTGAAAATCTAAACTACGTTTTCAAATTCCTTATCGCCATGTTAAAACAAGTGGCAGCGATCGCTGGGCTGAACATCTAGCAGCCATTTACGTGCCCTGGGTACCAGACTCACTATATATTAATTTTATACATAGTGAGTCTGGTACCAAGGGTACCATTTACGATGGTTACCACCGTCTTCGACAACGCTATTCAACTTCTCAGGATAAAGAAAAATTTCGAAGAAAAGATGACGACTTCGAAGATTCTGGACAGTTTTGTCTCCGTACTTATTTTTTATTGTACTTATTATCCGTACTTATTCTCCCAGTCCAAGGTTTGGACTGGGAGATTGCCTCGGTCGATGAAATATAGCCTCCTTTAAACAATGCTCTACCATTGAATTTAGGTCGTACCGGCACAGTGTAAACGGAACGGCTATACGGAACAATTTGGAATCGCGACAGTGTAAACACTTGCGAACGTAGCGGTACAAATTTGTTCCGGGACAGTGTAAACGGGGTCTATACCAACAGTGCCTTCGGAATGAAAATCATATTGCTGGGGGAGGGGGCTCCTGCCAACACTGATATATGAGGAGAGACTGATATAAAGGAAACGTAGTACAGTTTCGCAATTATTGGGGGGAGGGGGCTCCTGCTATTTAACGCTATCATTTTATGTTCAATGATGATAAGTCCCCATTCAATTTTACAGCATGGCAGATTTTGGAGCTGTTGATTTGGTTTCTTGTAGATATTGTTTTCAAGGGTGGTAAACTTCTCTGTTCGATTTTGAAGTTCTTGTAGAACCACAGTTTTCATCACCGTCCAGTCAAAGCATCTGAAGTTGGGCACCACAGTTCACAGTCAGTGTACTTGAAAATTTGGCACTACAGTTCTAATGTACAGGGCTTGAAAATTGTTGATATTTGTCAAAACGTGAAATTTTGTAAAATCATAGGAGTAGTTGCTTTTCTATACTAGAAATAGCTCTTGCTAGTACTGCCCGCAAACAATTAGTTCCTTGATAATGATTGTTTTGAAAATTTGGGTCAGGACATTCGAAGAAGACACCATCTTGGGTTTTCACAATTTTATAAAAACAGCTGCTCTAGTTGATGCTAAACTATTCTTTTTATCAAGAATTTTTGGTGTCCAGTTTGCTTTTGATTTTAGTCCAACGCCCTTTTGAAAATCATTAAGTTTTTCGAGGGTTTGACATTTATTTTTCGTTTTCGAGAAGTAAACAAAGACGTATGAAAATGGACACGTGATAGAACGGGTACACCTAAAATCGATTGCGAGAAAGGATTCGTACAGCGATGTACAGGCGATAATCATGACAATCATAACTTTTGCTCGTACTACGGTCTCGAATTTTTGGGAGAAAGGTGTGGCATTCGACTGGTTTCGATTCCCAAAACTTCGAATCAAAACTTCCATCCATTGCGGAGAACCGAGCTGTGATGCAGCACCGTTTTCGTGCCAAAAAAACCGAAGGCCTTTAGCAGAGTCTTGGCAGAGCAACGCTCCGAAGATAATTGCCTTCCGCACAAAGAGGTGGCGATTAACGACCTCCTCGACAAAGCCGATTGATTGACAATGAAATTGATTGACAGTTGTCATGGCAGCAGAAAAGTGACAAAATCTGCTGACAAAGTGCTGACAACATGAACTGAAGATTCCATATGCTACTTATACGCGGGGCAGACTATAAGCCCTTCACTCGCGCGCTATCGCGCGCGAGTTGCGGGCAATTATCAACATCAAGGCTTCTCTAACGGAAAATGTTATCCGGGATGACATTAGTAACCAAGTAACATGGGACATCATGCCTCAGCCATGGTCATATCCCATAATGCATAGCAATTTCAGCTGTCTTCAATCGGGGAGCACGAGGAAAATGGCGGCGTGGAACATGTCCGTTTGATGTGAAGTTTAGGGTTGTATTGCATGAGCAACATCCGTTGTTTTGATTAGGTTATACGAAAAACTTATCTCGAAAACCGTGAAATTAACAAAGCAGGAAGATGGTGAGATTTTTTCTGTTTGTCTCTAACGAAATAACGGACTTCTTGTTAAGTCTTTCCCCGAATTAGGCCAAGTGGTATATATTTTGATGCCTTACCTTCTTGGCCTACTTCAATGTTATGCTATTAGTGATAATGTGTGAAGAATTAATATAAGTAAAGGACATTCAATTTAGATAAAACAACATAAACATTAGACTCTTAATTCATGAGTTAAACCAAATGCATTGCCTGCTCTTACCTTCAATTTGGCAGAGATGCATCATGTACAGATCTCGCAATTCTCTGTTCCCCGCAATTTTTTATCTTCACTTTGCCAAAAATCATAGATATGGAATCTTCAAGTTGAAATCAGTCTTTGCTGAACATTTCATGTTATTTGTGCCATCAGATTGTGAATTACCACATTTTCAAAATTAAGCTTTTCCTATATGTACGTAGTGAGATGTTTTCACTACAGCAGCATATTCCAGCCAGATCTAAAGAAATGTCTAAATATTCAAATTGAAGAAGCAAACAAACAGTTCAAACAACATCAAATTGTTTAATTAGCTTAATTTCAAGATGGCGGTTTCAAATCTTAAGTCACTTTTTGAGAATGGTTACATATCTAATGTGAGGTTTACATGGATTCCACCCTGGCTTTTCAGTCATGCACTTTATAGTCCATTCCACTTATAGTCAGCCGGCTTACAGGCACACTACTGTACTTCCTCTGAAAAATGCTGCGGCGATCATTACAGACTCCAAATTTTGGATGCGACCTTAAATAGAGGGTGGCATTCAATACAAAATGAAAAGTTTGATTCCACCCTGGCTTTTCAGTCATGCACTTTATAGTCCATTCCACTTATAGTCAGCCGGCTTACAGGCACACTACTGTACTTCCTCTGAAAAATGCCGCGGCGATCATTACAAACTCCAAATTTTGGATGCGACCTTAAATAGAGGGTGGCATTCAATACAAAATGAAAAGTTTGTCAAATGAAAAATGACAAGAAAAATACGATGAAAAAATATAAAAAGAAAGTCAAGTCAAGGAATGTCAATATCACTTTCTCTGTCAGAGTCCTTGTCTCTATGAGATAAAAACTTTCATGGCTTTCCAATGGTAAGCGTATAAATGATTCCTTACTTCCTGTTTGATGTGTTTTCTTATGAACACCGCTTTTCAAGATGCAGTGTTCAATAGAGGGCAGCCTTCAAAAGAGGGCGGTGTTTTTTCAAATGGTTGGCTGAAGGTGCAACGTTCAATAGAGGGCGGCATTTGTTAGAGGAAATACAGTATATATCTGTTACAATCACATTCAATTTAGATCCAAATATGCAAAGCTATTAAATTTAGCTCTGCTTACAGTCATACTCAGTTTACAATCACAAAGTTTTAAGCATGAGTGGGTCTGACTATAACCAAATTATACTTTATGATGCATTTTCACCTGAAAATTTTATATTTAATGCACCAGAAATCCCAAAATACCAGTGTGCATTCTATGATTTTATTTTGCCAAAGTTTATCCAGGAAAAGATGGTTAGCCAGTAGAACTGTTGCAAAGTTTTCCATATTTATCAACACATCAATATGGCCTAACTACAGATAAAACTTTCCAAAACTTGCCAAACTAAAACTGGCAACATTTTATAAAGGTTTGTGCTTGCCCAAGATCTGGCAAAAAAGACAAGAATGTGGACAGGCCAACAGATCCTTAAAACGATATATTTTTACAATGAAACTAAACTCCCTATGAAAATTTTTACCATCCCTATAAAATCTCTCAATAAATAATTTGATAATATTGTATCTGAATATTTGGTAAATAACTTTTATTCTTACCTTGTTTGTCTAATTTTGCTTTGTTTTATTCTTAAAGACTGATCCTAAATCATACTGGAGCACAACAGAGAGAGGACGTAAGGCTGAAGATAAACTAATTGAAGCTCCCTATGACATCGAGTCATGGGGCACTTTAGTGAGAGAAGCCCAGGTTTGTCAGTTTTTAAATATTAGACCAAACTCCATGCAAAAATAGTGGTACATGTTTTAAAAAGCCCTTTTTACATAGATATATACATCATATTTCTCAAGATTCCTAAGAAGTTTTTTCCTCAAGAAGCTCTTTCATCCTACATTAAAGCATAAAACATCATTCAAAATTTTACATAAATAGATGTACTCATTTATAGTATTAGCCCTACTAGAGAATTTCATTGCATTGTCAATTGCTAGGAGTCTCCCCTTGTTAAATCAAGTTGAATTAAGGCCCATACCTAATCAGGCCTTTTAGTTTGATGTGAACAAGCACTCGCATTTGTGTTGGCACTTGCCAAAAACCCAACCACATGAGCATTTTATTGCTTGCGCAAAATTGTATATAATTTTTTTATAATAAATATTTCATCAATAAAAACATTTCCAGCCATCTTTTGTGACCTATTGAAGTGACATAGAGGATACAAAGTCACACAAAAAACAGGAAACTTCAGTAAGCAGAATTTACCACATCTCAATAGAAAAATTAAATTGAATATCAAATCCACTGTCAATGTGAAGACTGATTTTTAGTATTACTTCTATCACATTTTAGAGCCATCCAATCAGTACAGCACGCTTGATGTATGAGAAGATTGTCAAGCAATTCCCAATGGCTGGAAGATATTGGAAGCTTTACATCGAGCAAGAGGTCTTTTAAATTTATATTTCATTTCCATGTTTTCTATGAACATGATGGGTGATCTCACTGTTTTTCAACCCCAGGCAATCCCACTGCTCTATGACATAATTTGCTCCCTTACATCCTGAAAGATCTGTTTTTAAGACCTTTGTCAAAGTGTGATCACCTTTCATGTTATTCTGAACTCAACTTTGACACTTGGCTTTTTTGATAATTGACCTTTTTATGCAGCTCATGAGCAAATTATTGTAGGATATTTTCAAATCAATTATTATTTAATGACTATAGTTTAGATATGTAGCAAGTTTTGGTCGGTATAATAATTTAATACACATTTTTCTTTTTGGTTTAAGTCATGTGTTTACTTCTGCTACCCTCTGAGTTGACTCAAGGTGCACACAGAGTAAAGCTTTTTGAAATCATTTTAAAAATTAACAGACATAGGGTTGTACACTATAATGTTGCGCTTTTCCTACCCAAGTGCTGTATCAGAAAAATATGCTAATCATTCCCAAAGCGCTTACTAATTTCCATCGATGTCTAAAATGTCCTCTAGCATGTTGTCTTTTCAGTAAACATGCCCAAAAACAGTTGTGATTGAGGCTTCACATATCATGACCTGGTGGTATTGAAGCTCTTTTTAACAGCAAATCCCTGCAGTTTGTACTGTTTTTGAGATCCCTGTCTTTGCAGTACAAATTATAGATCACTGTCTTTTTTAGCTGCCCCTTCTTTCTCAAACCTCCTCTATAAGACACACCAGGGATTTCTGAAGCACATAAAGACATATGCATAAACACATCCAGCTAGAACAACATACAAAGTTGATAAAGTAAAAACACCTCAAGCACCTTTATAAATGCCGTCATACCTAAACAATCAATTATTGTCTCTGCTTTTTAATGCCTCCTTTTAGTTTCCCTCCCCCAAGAAAGCAAAAAATGTTTTTGACCTATCTCCCACAGATTTTAAACAGTGGATATTGTGGAAAATAGCTTCTTCAGCACTTTCTGAACTTCAAAGTTACTAGGGAATATCTAATTGCTTCTATGTTCCAAATATGGTTCCTAAAGGTGATAGCAATATGGTTTTTCCAGTTTTGTGTCATAGTTGTTCCTGTTTTTATATATAGCCTTTCCATACAGGTGATAGTTCCTAAAGGTGATAGCAATATGGTTTTTCCAGTTTTGTGTCATAGTTGTTCCTGTTTTTATATATAGCCTTTCCATACAGGAAATTCCATTCATGAAGTAGGTCCATAGCTGTCAGAATGAAGTAGGTCCATAGCTGTCAGAAACCAAGACCACCTATACCTATTTTTGATTGCATATTCTAGCTAAGGCAATTCGCATATTTTAGCTTTCGTTCATTATAACATACAATACCAGGACAAAAGTATTGCAACACCTGCGACGGTGATTAATGGTAGGCAATGCAATAACTTTTGTTGTTCTCGGATTAAGCTATTGTTCAATCAGCCAATGACAGGCAAAAAAGACAGCGAATTCATTGAATCATAGAGATTCCAATATTCTATTTTCATTTTCTAAATTTTGAACCAACAATTGAAGTAACTTTTCATTAACCAATAATATTGGAGGTGCTTCTGGCTCTGAAAACTGTTGTAATTCCTTTTTGGATTGATGCACAAAATTTATGGATAAAATGCACTGGAATTCTCCTTCATTCTTAATGAACTCCCCAAGTCAGTTCTTGTTTGGCCCTTATAGAGCTACATGAATTAAAAATCAGACCATTCACATTAGCAACAAGAAATTTTTGCCTTCATTAAGGTTTAGGGCTTTATGAAGGGTAAATGTATTGGGTTTTATTAAACTGCCTCCTTTCTTTCCCTGGCAATGATTTGATTCCACCAAAAAGGCTGCTTTACATTATTTCTACACATTTCACTGCATTAAATTGCACATTGCTAAATATAGATTTAACTATTCAAAATGGGCCTAACTGTACTCAAAATATTACCCAAGTTGAGTTGACGAATTTCAGGACTAAAAATGTCAGGACTGATGTCTGCTTGCTCCTTGTCCTGTTATTATTTTAATTTTGCCACTGTAGTTATTTTTCTTATAACTGTATAGTTTCTTAGAGGAATATGATAATTCTGAAAATTTCGAAATTGTCAAAAAATTTAAAAGAATTTGACTCCAGGTTTAGCATGTATATGTTATCTTTTTAAGGGACATTTTACCGTCAACTCATAAGCGTAAACTTCAATTTTCTTGGATGCCATTTTGATTTGGGTAATGCAATACTTTTGTCCTGTATTTGAGAGGTGTCAAAATTACCCCTGAAATCTGCTTATTTTTCGCTTACCTATGTCTTAATCTAAATTACGAAAATATCTCCTTTGAATAATACAATTTCGGTAAAAGCCTATAAGGGATTGGAGTGAGTGACTATATCCTTAGAATCACTGGAATGAGAGGAAAACTGCATAAAAGCAGTCATTGGCATTGTGTATAAATGCAGTCAGCAAAGCATTGAGCATGCACTGGCTTAATTATTTCATCAAAGTGTGATAACAAAATCATGCTGTAAACGAGTGCATAGAGTTAAGGACAAAGTTCTTCTCTACATAAATTATAAAGACTTTAACAAATTTATAATCTATTTCCACATCTTGCAGCATCATACCCTTTGAAAATAACATTCCAAATACACGATATCTCCATTTGCCCCAAATCTTAACACAAACCATGACTGACTGTTCCAACTAACCGACTCAGGAGGACACTGCCCCATTTCCAGAAGAATTAAAATTATCCAGAAGAATTATAATTATAATTATAATTATCCAGTGTTTACTTTTTAACAGTGCCAGATAAATCTAATTTATAATCTGTCTAAATCAAAAATTTCTCCTGCAAACCCCTTTTCTGTCCTCCAAACATCGATTTAGATTAAAGTGCCACCACAAGGAAATGATTATATTGATTAGCAGACAGGAAAGATGCTAGCATTTTTTCGATGTCCTTTTCTTCGAAATTCTCTGTTCCTCTTTTCATATTAAATCTAACAGGCTCTGGTATTTTTCCATTAATTTTTGGTACAACTATCGTCGCATCGCTTCCTTGATCTACACCAAGAGCTTCTAAACTTCTTCCAAACCATATAGTTCACGCATTCTGAAAACATTCCTTTCACTAAATACTGCTTGAGCATTAATGCAAGATCTTTTATTTGCGCCTTTTTTATTAAAGATGGTTTTTGCTTCATAATTTGCTTCTGTTAACTCAAACCCTAAATGCCTTTTTAGCCGAATCTTCCAGATAGTACATTCAATACAAAAATTTATCGACTATGGAAAGTTCTTTATTTCCACGTACTGCATCACTAAACCGATTAAAAAATCTTATTGCCTTCATGAAAACCTTTTCGGTTTTAATTTTGGCAGTTTGTCTCGATAAAATGACGATAAAACTACTGGAATTCAAACTTTCCATAGAAATTTAAAGATCGCTTCTTTTTAAATTTGGAATTGACTCTTCTTAAAAAGTTTTTTTAATAGTCCTTGATAGTAATAACTTCCAAATTTACCTTTTCTTTGAAGCTATCGCATCATTGGGTCAATCTGTATGAACTGTAGGAAAAACAGTTAGTCATACTTATTAAAAAACTATTTGCTCAAATCTGTGTTTATAGCAAACAATTTCAACAACTGCGTGTAGCAATTAAAGTAAAAAAGACAATTTTCTGAAAGCGACAGAAACGTCCCGACAATATCTGAATAATGCTTCTGAAAAGATCTCTACATAAATTATTGAAGTTAAAAAAAGATCCCTAGAAATGCCTTCAAATGCCCGAGCTTCTCTTTTCAACAAATCTGGCCTTTGTCATCATAAACACTGTCTCACAAGTCAGTTTATTTCTGCTTAGAGGTCATATGGAGCGAAAAACGATTTTCGCATATTTTGTAGAGCTTTTTTCGCTCGTCAAGATGCCGTTTTCGTTTCTTTTTACGACTTGAACTCATCTAGTTATGGCGCCCGAAAGCACGAAAAATTGATGCCATTCGAACGCGGCCAGATCGACGCTATGACATAATAGGTTTGACATATCACTTCGATAGCCATTGGAACCTTTGTAAGTGATGTTAATAAAAAATTATTGCAAAACAAGATAATGGCATGAAACTTTGTCAAGATACAAAGTTTGATACGCTGAAAAAGATAGGATGCATACCCCAACTGATAAATGCCCCCTCGAGCTATATATAGACTGGGGTACTTTATAAAAGACTGTGAAAAGGCTTTTCAATAAATCAGCTGCAAAACATGCTGAAAGAATGAAACCTGGGAAAACTGATACGCTGAAAATGATAGGATGTAATTCCAAACTCACAAATTACCCCTTGAGCAATTTTTAGACAGGGGTACTCGATTCAAGGACTTTAAAGGGGATTTTCCATATATCAGTTGCAAAAAACACAATAAAAGCATGAATCTTGCTGCAAGTACATGACTCGATCGCTAAGAAAGATAGAATGCAGTCCCTAATTGGCAGAAAAAAGCATGATAGAAGCATGGAAAATTGTAAAAGTACCTTGTTTGATACACTAAAAAAGATAGGGTGCAGTCCCCCACTGACAAATATTCCTTGTGCTTTTTCAAGACAGGTGTACTCGATTCATGATTTTTAATAGGTTTTCTATAAACCAGTTGCAAACAAATTCAGTATAAAAGTCGGGGAGAAAAGGCCCCAACAATTGCAAAGCAGGAAAACAAGATTGCTCTAAAATATTATATACTAATTGTACAGCAATATTATTGTGTTAGGATAATCGATTGTAGTCATGACATGGTAATTTGCATGGGAAAATTTCTACTAATAGCATGGTGATTTGCATTGAGAAAATTCAAATATTCTTTAAGAAGTAAAATCTCACGTACACAAAGAAAATTTTATGCATTTCAAGTCCATATCAAATGGTTCCAAGCATTGGGCTGCCCCCCCCCCCCGGGCCCGGCCTGGCTCTCGGCGGCCCTGGG